AATGGAGAAATGTTTATTCTATTTTTTTTTCTTTTACACTTAAATTTGTATTAATGGTGGAATTAATGCCCGATGCCATTTTCTGCCAATTAATCCTCGGTTGGACAGAGATAATAAGTGAAATTTAATAATATATATATTTATTAAATTTCACTATATAGAAAAAATACAATATATGTATAGACATAGATAAAGTTCTATCTTTCAATCAACATTTTGATTTAATGTTTACAATGAACATAACGTCAACTTGACTTCAATTTTATTATGTTAATTTAAATTAAGATTAAACGAATAGTGTTGTTACTTTATTTATCGATATTATATCGATCTATGTACTTTGATGAATGTATTTCAAATTTACAAAATTAATATTTTAGAGGGCGTTTGAATATGAAACCTAGTTATATTTTATGTCTTTAAACTGTATATATAATTAACAAATGTATATATAGTTAAAAAAAATAATAATAATAATAGAGAAAAAAAGACAATTTTGATTTGAACAGAAAGTGGTGTCCTCCTTTAGTTTCCTATACATTCAATTTCAATAAGGAGAACGCGTAACCACACTCTTTAAATATTTATTATAGATAGCAGTAAGTGCAACAAAAATATTTTAGAGCGCACACCCATCCTTTCTTCTCTTGACATAATGAACTTTTAGATTATATATCGATCGAGGCAGCGTACGCTCAGTCAAATTGTCATTTTAATTATACTAGCTACTTAGTGCATGGCTATAGTTCCTAACTTAGTCCATAGTTAGGCTAAGTTTAATAATAATTGTAAATACCACTATCCACTGGTTTTAATCTAGATTCCAGATTCCCGGGAATTGTTGCCCCCGGTATTGATGCCTTAATCTTCTGCCTCCTGGGTGTTGCGGATCCCTGTGATGTCTGTCTATATTATCTTTATCGGAGAGTCAGAAAGAAAAATATAAACTAACTCACATTTTTTTTTCTCATAATATAATAAAGCTAGTCCCATCGTACCTTACTCCTAACCTTATCGTTTATTATATAATGAAAATAAAAATTGTGCTTGTCATATTTGAACCTTTCTCGGGTGTGTATGTTATAGTAATGAACCAACTGGACCACAACACTCTTCAATTTGACAATTGGATATTGGACACGACTTAATTCAACTTGTACATATATGATTATAATTCATGAGGTAAATTACAGCAATAAACTAACCGGCGTACCAATTTTAATTTCACTTGCTTTGACTTCAACGATACAAGCATTGCCTAAAATCGGGTCATAGACAAACTGTACCTTAGTTAAGGTTTCCATAATAAAAGTCAATAAAGTTATTATGACATACCAGGCACCTTTGAAAATCTCTTTTAACATCCATCAATTCTTATAGGTGAAAGTCAAATGACGTCACTACTCATTTTGGGGTTCCAATCTCTACACAAATGTTAATGGCGTAATAAAAATCTTTAATACTGCTAATTTTATATAAAATACGTTACGACATTTTCAAATAATCTGTAACTCTTTTAACTTATCGTTATTTGTTGATGCACCAATTGAACTTCATTGAAATACTGACGAAATAAAAGCCAACATTAATGGCTATTTGGTCTTTTGTTTTGTTACACTATCGCTGCCTACACGGCATTAAAGATGTCTTTATTTTTTTGTCATTATTTCTTGGAACTGTTGTTACGAATAACTTAGGCTGAAAACAATTAATTAATGTTTTAGTTATAATAAGATATCAGAGGTACAAATTGTCATAATGAGATTTACATCCGTCAAATGAACCAATATTTACGTTACTGTAACGATATGTATATTAAGACTTCGGTCTAGCACAGGGCTTTATTTCCGATGGTCTCGGGTTCATCATTCTATTTGTTGGTATGATTCTTTGTATTGGTCTGGGTGTTTTCTATGTGTATATGTTTAAAATAATGTATTTCAGTACTTCGGGTGTGGTTTACAGTAACGTAATAGAAATAGAATTTAATCTTTATTCAAATAAACTCAATACAAGGAAATGCGAATGTTGAGATGGATGTGTGGTGTGACGAGGATAGACAAGATAAAGAATGAATACATCAGAGGAAGTATGAAAGTGGCACCGATGTCAGAGAGGTTAAAGAGTAATCGTCTATCGTGGTATGGGCATGTAATGCGTAGGAATGAGGATCATATCCTAAGGACGGTGTTACATATGAATGTGGATGGTTATAAGGGTAGAGGAAGACCGAAAAAGAGATGGATGGACTGTGTGAAAGATGATATGTTGAGAAAGGGAGTAAATAACGGAATGACTGCGAACAGAGATGAATGGAAGAGAAAACATATTACGCCGACCCCAAATAAATGGGATAAGGAAGAAGCAGATGATGACAAGCACTTTTGAATAGTCATATTTTTTATTCTACCACTCATTCGGATCGCAGATTCATCACAAGAAGAATGAGCATGAAACTCGTGTGCTGCTCTTTGGAATAGACGTTTTTTTATATAAATAATTTCACAGTAACAAGTAAGAGGCATGCGATAATCAACATAGAAACCGCTACGCACTCGTTCATAGTGCAATCAGATAATATTGTGAATTTTAAATATTTCAACAGAAACATTATTATCGTTAACGTATCGTGAATGTATTATTGTTTGTACTTGTTTCATTCAAATTGGTTTAAGTACAAACTATTTCAAATACCACTGGTACAAAGTAGGTTCAGCCAGTCTGCAATATGATTTGTAAGGTCTTCCTTGGTTGATTACTACTTAGAAGGTTGTGAAATTGCTTCCAATTTTATGGGTTGTCAGTAAGTAATTAGCGTCAGTTAACAATTCGATTACGAGAACACGGAAATTTTCGTCTGTTTCGATCCATTGGTAGTTACTAGTGATGTACCGAGTTATTATCAAAGCAAATGAAATCAAAATATTTTTATCACATCATTTCAGGACATTTCTATTAAAAACTATTATTATTTGTCAAATCTATAGTGTTATTGTTAGTGAATGAAGAAATGACAAGAAACTTACTCTTTACGAACATGTTTGTACATGAAAGAAACGTTACTTTATGCGTGGACAAGAATACGCAGTGGCATAACAAAGTGGTATGAAGAAGAGTGGACAAAACGACAGGATCCCCTGCTCAGAGTGTGCCCCAGTTATAGAGGCAAGGCGAATCTAATATTAATTACATAATTCACTAAAAACAAATTTCGTATAAAGCTAAACCATGGTTAAACTAAGGTTATTTAAGGCCAAGGTGGTTAAGACAACCCCGCGGACACAAATATGAATCACTAGCTGACCGGCGACACTGCTATTGGTCATAGCCTAATGTTATATGTCTATACCTCCGATAAATGGGCTATAGAACAATAAAATCATTTTCAAAATCGGATCAGTAGTATCGAACTCTACCCTGTATATTCAAACTCATTAAACTTTACATCTTTATTACATAATATAGCATCTACACTATCTTCATCCGAGAATATGGATTCTTATATAGTCCTTTGTTCTATTTCTACATATACTATCCATCTGTCTGTTTGTTGTTGGTAATCTCTGACGGTGGGATTAATTTTGAGGGAACTGTCACTCGCAGATAACTCATGTTTTAAGGAGTTACTTAGCAATTTTTTAGACTGAGGTACAGTACCTTAGTCTTACCATCTAAGCTTGCTTTGTTGTAGGTGCACTTGACCGTGAAGTGACAGTTGACGTTTAATAAATCACGTAATACTGACTATAATCAATATTTCTTTTTTAAAAATACAATATTTCGAATTAGGAATTATTTTAAGATAAACTTAACATTATTTGTTTTAGAAATCAGACATTTAAGAATGTAAAAGTTCAGCCATGAAGTAATGGATACATCGTTGGTATTCAGTCGCATATTAGCGGATATGGATACATATATATATCTGGCACATCACTAGTACATACGGAAACATTATCGTTGTTTGCTACTATCGCATCATACTTCTATAAAAAAAAATATTTCTGAAAAGTCGTTTGTTTAAAATCATTTGACACTGATAAACTCTTTATCTGGTCTGCTGTAATAGAATTATAAGTTTGTTCTTCTCTTCATTTATTTAGAAGCTTAGAATTATTAGTATATACAGAGATAAAGAGAATGGAATATAAAATTCTATATTCATGTAAAATTCGACTAGGTAAGCGCTTTTGATTAGTCATATTTATTTTTTTAATCTACCACTCACTTGAGAAGCAGTCTCATCACAAGAAGAACCAGCAAGAAACTTGTGTAACTTTATATTTTTAAGTTAAAATGTGTGTATACAACTACCAAATAGCACAAAGTAATTATAATCAAAATATTAAACACAACTCGTTGAGTGACTAAATAGTATTATACGAGTATAATGTAGTATACAAGAATAAATCAGTCCTACTGATTAGAGCAGATCAGTCCCCCTACAAGCACACTAGTCCCTAGAATACATAAATACATATAATTAGGCATCATGAGATTTTAGTTTACCAATTAAAATAAAAGCATTACTAAATCGGAAAGTGTATTAAAGTCGAAAGATAAGGGAGAGTTATGACTATGACCATGTGCATGCGAATAACGTGCAATATTTTAAATTTGATTAAGCATTATAAATCTTCACAAGTGTTATCCCTGATGGGGTAGTCAGTGATATTAAAAATTACGTTGTCGTACTAAATGAATAATTGATATTCTCACATTTCGCTGGGTATAATTGATTCTATCGCAACAGTAGTACCTTTCACCATGTCTCGAATGTATTTTGATTTGTAATCAGTATTTCCATCAAGATAGAGTCGATTGACTCTGTTGAGATGTTCCTGATTCGAAATTGACGCACAAAGTTGGGTCGGTACATTAAAACTCATGACCTTTGGATTTAAATTGGCGTATTACACTATTAAGTAACGACGCTCTTCATTAAGATGTTAAAAAAAACAATACCAAGGTTAAGGTATTAATTTAGCAGTGATACTTACCATAGCCTATTTCATGTCGTACAGTGTTAGCATTCACAATTACAGGTGTTTCTTCATAAGTTTTACCATCTTCAACTCGTTTTGTTTCTGTATTTTCTATTTTGCCCGTAACGTCAGTAAAATATTCTTCAAAATTGTTTTTATCAAAGAAATTGAAATCAACAGCGGCCCGTTTCATCGTGGGCGTTCCTAAGTCCACTTCGTATTGTAACATCTTTGCTGGCGACATGACCTCCATCACCGGCGACGGCTTCACAAAAATATCATTATCATTCTTTTTAGTTAACGATAACTTTAATAAATTTGGTTTTTTAGGTGTTAATTCTTCCGTTTTTGAATTGTCTGACGTTTTCGGGGTTTCAACAAATGGCGGGGATTTGTCCACCGCTGGTGTCTGAATATCACAAGTTGGAATATCCGGAGTTGGAATATTCGGTGTTTGAATATCCGGAATTGGATTATCCGGCGTTTGAATATCTGGACTTTGAATGTCGGGAGTTTGTGTGTCCGGAGTTTGAATATCGGGAGTTTGTATATCCGGAGTTTGCGTGGGAGTAACTATTTGAAGTAATGGAGTCCCAACGGACGAAGTTGCATTACTATCGATGGACATATTTCTATCACCAATAGTTACATTCTCGCCAATTACTGAAAAATTGTCAAGACCCATGCGAAATGTATCATCTGGTAATTCTAGATTATCCGCTATAAATACTGGAGTTCCCTCCGTACTTTTCTGTAATACTGATAAGTCATTAAGAGATGCCGATTCCATGTTTAAAAAAATATAAATAGTCAATATTAGTATATTTAATAACCCATAACTTTCAATATGTTTACAGTATCATACTCGACGAGTCTTGATTAATGACCTTGAAGTTATCTCGCCAATCGATAAGCACAAGAATTCACATCACTTCAACGCACACATGCGCAAAACAGTTCCTATACGCAGGTTACGGCTATTTGTTTATGTGTCCGTATAATACTTGTGTAGTACACACAGTATTGATGTGTGCTATTAAGAGCTGTCAAACTAGTTTGCGGTTTCGTTTTTCCTATTATTACTAATTGAATATCATGAATTATGGAATGTAACACTGTATTCTTTATCTTACTCTCAATTATAATGTTAAATAAACACAAACATATGTGCAATAAAAATATCTCCACCGTCCCGCCATAGGTCCGGCTAAAAATAGCTCGTAACGTAGTGCCACCACTTGCCGATTTTCGCTCGCTCTTTTTTCACTCACAATCACAATTAATTACTTTAAAAGGGTTCTGTGGCGTTAATGTCTTTAATATAGCGTTCACAGTTTGTGTCTGTCGATATTTTTGTGTAAATATTTGTAATTTGTACGCAGCAAATGCAGTATTATACACGAACGATCACCTACACAACTACATGGATGAATAGTAATGTCAACAAACAAGAATTTCCGCAATTGTTTCTGACCATTGCGCGCGAATATTAAAATTCTATGGTGATAAATGTACAAATAATGCATTAGTTTCTCATAATAATATGACCTTTTACACACTATTTGTTAATTAATAAAGGTATTTAAGTTTATTCATTGTAACATTAAACATCAACATTAGGCAATAAGGTTGAATTTAGCATAAACAAAATACAGCAACACACAGTCCACACACCAGTGTAACCATATTCAAAATACATGTCGTGCCGAAATACAACAAGATGTGCCATAATAAAGTTTTTAAATAAATAAACTAAATTAATTAAAAAGAACATGATTGGGTTGCATAACTTGATGAAAATATTTAGATTAACACTATTAGAACGAAATCAGCTGATTTAGAGATAATATTATTATTAGTACTATAATACAATTGCGCCATCTATCTAAATTTGTCGTTTGGATTTTGTACGAGCAATGTTTTACGCTATAACATTTCGTTTTATATTTCATATTTTACCAAAATCAGTTAACATTTAGCACTTATATATTTTTTTATTATTATTTATCAATATATTTTTATAGTTGTATAACCCGAAGATTATACAGATTTTTAATGCTTACGGTATACTGTAGTCAGACTTTAATTAAAATGGTATCCAGGAGGACTCTATGGATTTCTATCTGATATGGTACATGATACTTTAACATTATTACTACCAATTGTTTTCCTTGTTGTTTATGAGACCATCACTACACGGCATCACCTGGCGAACTGGGATAGTTATCAACCAGGGTAAAGGGATTACCATGAGCTCTCATGTACATTTTTATTAATATAAATATAGTGCCAAGTATTTCGCTTCATATTCTACTCTATAAAAAGCCTCGGGTGTACCGAGGTAGATTTTATAGTTGTTTGCTATTACTATTAATTTCAGCTGTCAAAAAGCAATTTTTTTCGTGTTTCATTTGTAGGATGCGCGTTTAGGCAAAAAAATTACCGATAAGAAGTATGCAATATGTACTATGTATGGGTAATGTACATGGCAACGGTTACCACTTACCATCAGATATTTGTGTTTCAAGCGTGCATAAGCTTGGGTGATTTTTTACCATCCGTCCGTCCGTATGCTTGATTGCCACCATCGTAGTATATAGAAATAGGTATAAAACTAACACAAATAAAATTGTTTAAACATATAATATGTATTATACTACAATAACGCATTGTTAAAATTTTTTTCTTTTTCCACCTGCACCAACTGCGTTCCCGCCTTTTCTTTTCCCGCCAGTTTTCGGTCCCATTTTGTTTTTACCGCCATTTTGTTTGTTTCTATTGAAATTTTTGCTGTTATTGCCTTTTTTGTGGCCGAGAATACTTCTATTATAGCCTTTTATCCACCTATCGCGTTTATCTTCCCAAGCTAGTTGTTTTGTACTGGCGTTGTCTTTGTTTGCGACCGCCTGACTGGAGCCTTGCTTCTTGTTGGTTGCTGTCTCTTCTAGAAGCGTAGAGAATTCTTCAGCCGATGCAAAGAGTGATCCCAAGTCGTCGCCTCCTATTGAACATATCAAAAAGACAAATAAATTTATCTTACATGTACCCCATTAGGTCTAAATGACACAGGTGTGAGTTGCCACTTTAAAGTAATCCAAAACCGCGTGTAACCCATACTTATGTAAGAAATCATGATAGTGAGTTCCTAAAGTCAATAAGAATTCTTACTAGTTGTTGTTACATACCTATGTAGATACACATATGGAACAGTAGTCCATATCTGCAAGATGGCTTCAGCATTAAGAATGAAAATAATTAATATAATAAAAAAAAACTCAGGTCTTAAAGGCCTTGTCAACATCCGGTCAAAACTAAGAACCAATAAAATTCATTTCTTACATAGTATTTGTTATTAAAACATAGATGACTGAAAGTAAAGAAATTTAATGCCTCCATGGGATTCAATTTCATTACTTATTAATTTCTTATTTCTTACCTGGTGTATAAACAACACACCGGTAACAAACCATCTTATAATAAGTACCTTTCAGTTTAAGCTTAGTTCTTCCCTTCGATTTCTTTCCAGGCACATCAATATGATCGTCTTCATCACTATTCTCCAAGAGTAACTCTGTAAAAAAATACCTTTGGTGAGGGGTTTGGCTTTTAAAAGGTGCTTTAGACTTAACAAGTACAAAAATTGAATTCTTAACTTCCTTACCCATGTGAAATTTATCATCTATATATGTTATTCTAATGTATAAGCTACATTATTGTAAAGTTTCATCAAAATCAGTTCAGTAGTTTTGGCGTGAAAGAGTAACAAACATCAATCACTTTCGCGTTTATAATATTAGTAAGATTTATTGTACTTTGAATATATTATTTAAATATGTTCATTAGAAATAATGTTAAAATGGAGGACATATTACTAAAAGAGATATCTTCCAGTCAACTGGATTCAGTTGCCTAGTACCCATAGGTTCTGCTTAGTTTGGGAGTAGATGGCGTTGTGTGAATTGTACAGGGGTACTAGTATTTGCTTACACTTATAATATTTCTGTCTGTTAGAACGAGGTAATATTCTAGACTGTCAATGAAGTATGTTTGAATATTTGAAAAGAGAGTGTGTTTTGTGTTTTGTCATCTTGTCTGAGATGTATCTATAACCATATTGTATTAAATGTGTTTTTATATTATTTTATTTTGATCTATTCTACTTATTTACTTGATATAGTTACTCTGTTAACGTGAGAAGTTCAAGTATAAAATCAGAGTGTTGTGCCTACTTGTAATATTTCTGTCAACACTTGACACCCTTCCATTATTTACCTCTCCATTTAAGATATAAAATCAGTTTACTTCCCGACATAGATTTAAGTCCAGTGTAAAGTCAGTCTACGTCCCAACTCCACGTCGAATGTACGCGTTACTAATAAGTCATGTAGTACACTACCAAATAAACTTACTAATGTACAATAAATAGTACAATTATTTTATCTCTATACTCACTAGCTATATACTACAATAGACAATATATTACATAGCCTCATATACCTTATATACCTCATCACATCATACACTACAGTACAGTGATGAGCTGACACCACCAAGCTACAAATAAATATTATTTTAACATGTTAAAGACCACATTGAGAAATCTTATTTCTCAGTGACCACATTCAGAAATCTTATTCCCTAGGTGGGACCGGAATTTTTTTTATTGTTAATTACGTATATGTTTAAGTGTACAATAATATGAAGTAGACTTTATTTAACCTCTAGATTTATTTCAATTAAAGTGCCCAGGGACTCCCGGTCTCAACGTGTAAATTTACTTTCGTTGTGGAATGACTCATCGGTGGGCATGCGATCTTTAACGTGTAATACAATATAACTTACCATCTTCATCGCCAGATAAATTTGGTTCATCCTCGTCTGCCGATATGTTGAGTTCACCGTCGCTGCCTGTAATAAAACATATAATATAATTCCGTAAAAAGGCATATGGCCCGCCTGATAGCAAGTGTAGCCGACGGTAGAATCATAAAAATCATTAAGTAACTTATATTAAGTTTATTTTAATAAAAATTACTGCAATAATGTGACAAACACATCGCTCTACTTCCGATGGTCGCGGGTTCGATTCAAGCATTTCTACTCGTGAATAGAAATAATCATATTATTTCTATCGGTGTTGGTGTTTTCTATGTCTTTAAAAAGAAAATGAATTAATTGTCTAGAACCCATAACACAAGCTCTGCTTAGGTTAGTGAATTAATCACAATGTAATATGATATACAGCTTTTCTAATACCTTCATTGTTAAACTCATCACCGCCATCACCTTCGTCCTCATCATCAACATCATCGTCATCATCACTAGCGAATTGATCGTCATCGTCATCATCACTAGCGAATTGATCGTCATCGTCATTCTGGTTCTTCGATTTCTTTTGATGTTTCGTTGCCTGCATCTCTGCGAGATAGTCCAGTTCCTCGTCGGATTCAGCTGTAATAGGCAAGAAGATTGCATATTAATATTCATAACCTTACTTATTTATTTATTTTAATTCAGGCGACTTCATTTTATAGTCTTTACATAGTATAAAATAAAGTCGAATGGTCTGTTAGGATTACGAATACTAATTAGACTATTTGCTTGTGCAATAGCATATGCTGGTGGTCACTCTATTCTCCCAAATTTGAATATACATCAATCCGTATTATTGTAAACATGTACATTTTTTTGAAAAGAATACGAGCCGAAGTTCTTGTCAGTTCTTCTCATCCAGAAATCATTTCGAACTAACGGTAGATTTGACATATCATAAGAGTCTGTAATAGACCTATAATGAATAAAGATATTTCGAATTTTTAAATTTGGAGTCGCTCCCGGTATACTACCTTACAGACTAGTATATACATGGGCGTGACATCTATAGGCAATAACCAACCTAAAAAAATGTGGCCCAACACTAAAAAAAACAAATCTGATCAGCAGTACTAGAGATTATCCCGATCATCCAAAATTTTAAGTCTATAATATTAGTAGATATGATTGTATATATCTAGACAAATAAATAACACTAAGTGTTTGATTGTAATTTAAAATTAAAAGCTTTTGAATAAATGCATACGAAATTACATGTACATAAAAAAAATAAAAACCATATGTCTGTTTGTTTTACTAATCTCTGAAACGGCTGGAGAGTTTGACGGGTCTTTCACTCGCAGATAACTAATGTTATAAGGAATAACTTAGGATACTTTTATTTTATTCAACGCGGACGTAATCGTGGGTAACAACTGGTGTATAAATATATGTCCTTTACATTTGTTTTCCATAACAGTTCCTGCAATTGTTACCTTGTGGTTTCCCAGTCATTGAGTCCAGATACTGTTCGAAGTCCTCGCTGGTCACCGAATCTTTGTCACAGTCATCATCATCAGACCCTTGTACATCACGACGCATCTTCAGGAAACTAAAGTTGTAAACGGAAAGTGTTTAATAATAATTTCAACTGACTGTAAAAAATGTGAAGTATATTTTTTTTAGACCCGGACGCAAAATTTAGAGGTATTACAGTTTGTCTTGTATTTGTGTTTTCGTCTCCAAAACAAATGGACCGATTATGAAGGGATTTTGTTTGTATGAAAGCTGAAGAGAACGAGATGGTTCATAAGAACCAAACAGAATAATGTAATTCTATTTCTACCTATTCTAATGTTGGCTGGTAGAGAATGCCATGTGGAATTAAGCTCGCCTCATGTTTACGTGTTTTTGTACAATAAAGATTTTTTTTTCACATACATTTCTTTTCTATCTGCAATCAGGCTGTGTTTTTGTACAATAAAGAATTAAAAAAAACTTTACACGTAAATTTCATAATGACGAATGCATACTTACTCATAGAGGAACAGCTCATCAACAGGTATCTTGGAGACATCCTCGTTCAAGTACGTCGAAGAACTCACAGGTAAGCTTCGAAGACCTGGAAATAAACAGAAGCATCCAGGAGTCAGATTAATGATAAGATATGTTTTAAATTATATATTTATAATGTAGGAGAAGGATGGAAAGAATTAGTTGGAAAGATAAAGTAGGAAATGAAGAAGTATTATACAGGGTGAAATAAAAAAGGCAGATATTGAATACTATAGAAAATAGGTGAGGAAAAATGTTAGGACAGTTGATGTTCCGCGATGGATTTATGAAAATGATTATTGAGGGAAATACAGAAGGCAAGAGGGGGAGGGGAAGACCAAGGTACAGTTACATCAACTAAATTAAAGACAAAATTGGTGTCGTGTCGTACCAATATTTAAAGAGCATGATGGAAGATTATTGAAAGCGGCTAGAGTTCCACCGACAAGTGTGGCTTTTAAATGATGAATAAATGATTTACAGAGGTAGATTTTGTGCAGTCGCAAGTTCACCAGGAATTAACAAGGTTGCTTTCCATAGAGAGCCACCTGGAGTTGGTACATTTTCAAATAGCAAGCGGCCCACAATTCCCCATTCCCCCCTCCCCTCCCCAAGAAGCTGTGTTTGAACAAAGACATATACAGAACATACTATCTTTTGTAATATTCTTAATGCCGCTATTTAAAAATGTTGCCATATTAAAAAAATTTGTATCTCACCTTTGGCAGTATAATTTTTCCTAACAGCGAACTTGGGATGCGAACCCTTGACCTTCTTTAATTCCATCTCGTCATCCTTCTCCACCCGTTTCTTAGGGTTCTTAAACACGAAGCGATCCAGGAACCGAATACCGGAGAAGTCTTTCAAGGGGTCACCACTGTACTGGATAATTTGTTCTACAATAAAAAAGTAATGGAAATAATCATTACTCAAATAAACTTAATTTAAACACTTTTGAATAGACATTTTTTTTATTCTACTATTCATTAGCAACGCAGGCTCCTCACTTCACAAGATTGTTAATAATTATTTTATTTAAAATAATTACTTACTAACTGTGCCCGAGGTTTCCTCGTGAAATTTATAGCCTATTGTTGTTATGTTATTCTGATATATAGCTATATTGTAATGTCTCATCAAAATCCGTTAAATAGTTTTTGCGCGGAAGAGTAACATTCAACCATACTCACAACCTTTCGCGTTTATAACATTAATTCTTATTAATATTATCTGTAAATATTTTTTTACGTAATCTTTTAAATAAAAAATTACATTACAGATCGAGCTTATGTGTGTAATAATGAAACGTACCGTTCAGGATTTTCTCAGTGAACAGTTTGACGGTGGGATGGCAGTGTTTGGCCAGGGTCACCAGTTCAAGATACGCCGTGCAGCCGACGCCAGCGAACGCTGGATTCCTGGCGTGTGGGTTGTACTCTGTTATTATCTGTAATATAAATAGAAATAATCTTCATTCAAATAAACTTAATATAAACACTTTTGAATAGTCACATTTTTTTTATTCTACCACTCATTCAGGACGCAGACTCGGCATAAGAGCGAACAAGAAACTTGTGTGTTGCTCTTTTAAATAAATGTTGTCCTAAGTAAATACATATTAACAGGGATTAGGCATGCAACAATCAACATAGAAAGCACTACACACTCAATCTTGCAATCTGTATATTATTGTTAGCGCTATGAATTTTAAGTTAGAATTTTCTATAAAAACATTATTGCCATTTATAAACTCTTCATTTATTTTTTAAAGCTAGACTTGAAAGATCGTTTTGATCGGCGCGATCTCCTCAGGATCTAGTATACTTTTCAAAGGAAGCGACGGTTACCACATACCATTCCAATAATATAAACATATTTATATTTGACATTATAAAAGCAATACTGTTTGTTTTCATATATATATAATAATATTCGAACAATTCACACAGCGCCATCTAGACCTAAGTTTAGCTAGCTAAAGCTTGTTTTATTATAAATATTGTTATATTATATCTATTTACTAGATAACGGATAACAGTACAAATGTTTTTGACGTGCGAGGAATCGAACCCACGACGATCAGAAGTAAGGCGTGTGCTAAACTAGACCACCAAGGCCGTCACAAGAAACTTTCGGTCGGTTCACTTACCCTGTCCATATTGACCGTCTTCTTAAGCTGTATTTTGGCTTCCTTCTCCTTGTCCTTGTCCTCTTCTTCCTCTTGACCTTCGACCTTCACTCTGGCGTGGTACCAACTCGCCACAGCCGAATGCTTTCGCTTTTTAGGCTTTATGTTCCCTTCCTCATCAATTTTCAGGTCTACATAATTTTCTTCATCATCTTCTGTAATATTAAACAATATTAATAACCCTGAACAATATACACAGCGCCATCTAGTCCCAAGATAAGCAGAACTTGTACTATGGGTACTAAACACTTTTTTTTTATATACATCTATAGAGTTAAACAAAATTTTAGTGTTTGTAAATTCAAATTAACAGCTTTTCACTAAATGTATATGAAAGTATATCTCTATATACTTACATAAAAAAAAAAAAACAATCTGTCTGTCTGTTCTTGCTAATCTCTGAAACGACTGGACCGATTTTGACGAGACTTTCTCTCGCAGATAACTAATGTTATAAGGAGTAACTTTTAATTTAGATATTTTATTAGTCTTAAAACTCAGACGAAGTCGCAGATAACAGATAGTGTGTAATATAAATTGAAACAAAGCACTGAACTCACCCAACAAAAGATCCTTTTTGTCACCATGCAGAAGGTCGACTTTCTTCTGTACCACTTTTACCTCATCATCTTGCTTTATGTTTGTTGTATCATTCAATTCTTCTACAGTATCCTCTACATCTTCTTTGTCGCCATTTTCATCAACTATTCGATCTTCTTTTTCTATTCCATCTATATCTAATTCAGATTCATCTTTCACCTCCTAGAAATTATAAATAAATAATGTTCTGAAACAACTTGTTAGCAAAGCAAAGCACCTTTGAGTCGAAGTTCATGAGAAACTAAAAATAAAGGTCGTAACGATAGTCAAGATCCAGCACTGAATATTTGTCATCTCACACATGATAATTCTAGCGGAATTAAATAGTGATATGGACTTCCGCAAAATAAACTCTAATTCGTTTAAATCTTATTAATATTACTAGCCGTATTCGTGATTGGGTCCGCGTGGAATTCAGTTTTATTTTTCTAAAATAAAAGTAACCTAAGTTACTCTTTATTACATCAGCTACCTGCCAAAAAAATCCCGTCAAAATCGATCCAGCCATTTCAGAGATTAGCCGGAACAAACAGACAGACAAACAAATATTGTAAAAAATGTTATTTTGGTGTATGTACCGTATTTATTTTCATATGCATGTAGTATAAAACGGTTATTTCAATATTACAAACAGACACTACAATTTTATTTATATAGATAGATATATCGTTTATTTGTTTGTTACTAGTCACACACATAACATGTTCATAAGAATATAAAATACATAATACAACATAAGATTTATAAAATTGTGTTATGTGTGATCTGTAGCAATACAATGTGTAAAGGTAAACGCGAAACTTTGTGAGTTTCGAAAAAACTACTGAACGACTTTTTATGAAACATTACAGTAATATAGCTTACACATCAGAATAACATATAGGATATAAAATTCACGCGGGTGAAACCGCGGGCACAGCTAGTATGATATATTCTTTAATGGGACCACTATTAAAAGTAGTCTAATAATACTGGCTTCTGTCATACGGCTAATGCTAGTTCAGAAGCCAGGACTACACATAAATACTGAAAGAATTGATATTGTCTGGAATGTGTACCTATTGTATAAATAATATTGTAACGATCCTTCTGAATTTAATAAAGATTATTATTATTATTAAAAAAAAAAAATTTAGTTTACATCACCTCTTTAATTTCCTTTTTAGTCCACTGCAACATGCCAGTAGCTGACCCACTTTTCTGTCCGTCTTTCAACACCTGAGATATCAAAAACAGCATGCCACAAGCCTGCGCCGGGGTCATATAACAGCAGAGCTGCAGTAAGCGCTTTACGAAAGCGCTGACGCGGTCAATATTTTTATCTTGACGCACAGACTTGTAGACCAGTGAGAACAAAAGCGCTGAATGTGTTGTGCTGAAGATGTCAGGATTTGTTAGTTTACGGTAGAGGGCGGTGTAGTATCTGTAATAGAAAACGCTCTTGTCAAGATTTGGCACTTACAATTTCAAGTCATACAAGTCACCGATACAGTAAATCTCTCCTCCGATCGATCCTTCGTCTAATTCAAACGTGGATCAAAGTTACGATGGCCTGAGCCGAGGTTCGAAACCCTAGGGGCTCTCAGACTGGCGTTGCTCCATAAGTCTTTTCGCGGGTTTGGAGTGTTATGTGCACTCGCTCCCTCGAGTTTAGTCTGAGGGCACCTCTAGGAGTTCGAGCCTCGGCTCAGACCGTCGTAATTTCGATATCCGTTTGAATTGGACGATGGATCGATCGAGGGGGCAACCTTTGTCTTCTTTGCTATAAAAAATCACTTACCTATCTGACGTGCCTTTACTCGCATCACTGATGTGAAATAGCAATGCAAGCGCATGTATCGCTATATTCATACTGGCTAAATGCACTAGTTTGTGTATAGCATTTATATGTTCCGGGGTCTGAGCCAGCCTGTCTTTATCTGCAAATGGGTATGCACGCTTAACTCCTGTCAGTATAGCAGACATCAAACGAGAATCGATATCACCCTGTAATAAGAAAAAAATTATAATTATAACACACAATACACAAATACACATAACATACAAACCATAATCTCAGATAAACTTTCAAAATACCAAGATCTTGCAATAGAAGTTAAAACACATGACATGTAACAATTGTACATATTGTATAGGTATCCAACATACTCAAAGATAGTTTGCAAACGCTGAACATTCATCCTACTAGTGGTAAATAAAAAACAAATTGTTATGACTATTCAAAAGTGCTTAAATTAAGTTTATTTGAATAAATGATTTTCTATTCTATTCTATTCTATTCTATTCTACTAAATCTGTTACAAATAACAATACTAAATACCTGCCGCATTTCTAGAAAATTTTTGACTTCCTCTATAATAACTTCCTCACATTCCGCAACCTCTGACACGCTTGGCAAGGGCCGTAGAATAGAATAGAATAGAAAATCATTTATTCAAATAAACTTAATTAAAGCAGTACTTTTGAGTAGTCAACAATTTTTTTTAATCTACCGCTTATTCGGAAAGCTGTCTCATCACAAGAAGAATAAGCAAGAAACTTGTGTGTTGCTCCAACCAGCACTAATTCATTTAGGCTCAAATATAAAAACACAATACGATTAAATCAGTCGTAGTGAGTAATAAGAGCAGACCAGTCCCTACAAGCAGCACTCGTTCACGAGTATGGCGGATGAGCCAGCCATTACTGCGCTCGACCACCGTGTGTGAGTATTACTTTCTTTTATAACAAATGAAAGAAGAGAAAAAAAAGTAACAATAATAGATAGGTTGACTGGTAAAGAATGCCATTAGGCATTAAGTCCTCTATGCATTCATTTTTGTGTACAAAAGAATAAATAAATATTTATTTATCTTATGTACATAAATTCTCGTGTCACAGTTTTCGTTCCCATACTCCTCCGAAACGGCTTGACAGATTCTCATGAAATTTTGTGAGCGTATTGAGTAGGTCTGAGAATCGGCCAACATCTATTTTTCATCCCCCTAAACGTTAGTAGGGTAGTCCACCCCTAAATTTATTTTTTATTTTTTAGACAATATTTTTATTGTCTATTTTTTTATGATACAACATACAAAAATACATACAATCCTAAATTTTCAACCTTCTATCATCAACCCCTATTTTTTTATAGCGTTATTAATTTATATGGCAAAACAACGTTTGCCGGGACAGCTAGTTTCTTTATAAATATTATATTTTATTATAAATAGAACCGCGACCATCGGAAGTAAAGTATGTAATCTAAACCACTGCACCACCGAGGACGAATCTTACCGACCGTATCCTGTAACTCGAGCTCTGCTTAAATTGGATCTAAATGGTGCTGTGTGAGTTATCAAAAAAATCAACCTTTATAAAAGTGTACGTCGTTTATTGCATTGAACCATAAACAAAACAGTTGCCTTACCTTTTTAATGGAGGCCTTGAAGAATGAGAAGTATATCTTAATAAGGTTCTCCGCAATCTTGGAGTCGTCCTTGCCGAGGAAGAATTGGTTCAGAAAGCACACACCGTAGTATTGCGCTCGTGGAGAAATATTTGATCTGGAAAAAATAGAGTAAAACAATCTTTATTCAAATAAACTTTAATTTAAGCACTATTGAATAATAATAATAAACATTATTGTGCACATAGATATAAATAGATATAAAAATACAATAAGAAAAACAGTAACAAAAGGCAGCTCATCGCTATAAGCACTTTTTTATAGAAAACCTGAAAGATAGTACTAAAGTACACAGAAAAAGATGGCACACATTAGGCACTACAGTTATTATACTAGTAAATATACACATATAATATAGGTACAAATATATATATAAACTTGCACATATACATACATAAATACTGCATGTTGGAAGGTTTTGAATACTTATATAACTCTTTACTTAGAATGCACCGCAGATTAGGAAAGCTGTCTCATCACAAGAAGAACGAGAAAGAAACTTGCGTGTTGTTCTTTTAAATAAATGAAACATGTTAAAAAAATATTAAGCCAGCCCATAATAATATATATAGTAAACACCCAGACCGATGCAAACTATCATACTTATGAATACATATGTTTGTATCGTGAGAAAATCGGGAATCGAACCCGCGATTGTCGGAGTGTGCTAAACCGCTAGACCACTGAGACCGTTCAATAATTACCTGAAAAGCATTTTCTCAATCTCTGCCAGTACCACCGCCTTCATGTTGGGATGATTGTACAACAACTGGCAGAGATGATATATCACTTTTGATGAGACAGCCTGCGACGGATCACCCAGTTTGTTGATAATGTTCGTCAACAGCATCTGAAAATGGAATTGAGTGATATTCTTTTAGTTAAATTCGTCGATATAGACTTTGTAAAAAGTCGTCAAATAAAATAAAATCAAACCGAAATAAATAATAATTTATTCATGTAGGACATTTTAGAACAGAAAACACGTTTCTTGCTAGTTCTTGTGATGAGACAGATTTCCGAATAATAAAAAAATAACTATGACTATTTTAAGTTATTGATTTAGGTTTATTTCAATACTCAATAAATGCAATAAATATTGAGTATTGAGTATTTGAATAAAGAATTTATTTTATATTCGAAAATAGGGGCATTGAGAAAACAGCAAATGTAATTTTAAAACAATACAAATACAATGTATATTGTTCAGATCTATACAAATAATAAAATTGGAGTGTCTGTTTGTAATATTGAATTTTTTTATTACATGTATATCAATATAAATAAGGTACATACACCAAAATAACATTTAATAAAATTTTTGTCTGCCTGTTTGTTCCGGCTAATCTCTGAAATGGCCGTACCGATATTGACGGGACTTTTTTGGCAGGCAGTTGATGTAATAAGGAGTAACTTAGGCTACTCTTATTTTAGAAAAGTAAAGTAGAATTCTACGTGGACAGTTAGTTAATAAATAAATAAACAAATAGGGTTGTTAGCACTGGCGTATAAGTTGAACAGTATTACGAGTCGGAAGCAAACGAAACGAACTAAAACAATGAACAAATGTCGCCAGACATTTTCGAACTATATTATCAGATAAGTAATAATCACCGGCACATAAAAAAAGGTACCAGTGCTTCAAAAATTTTATCAGAAGTGGGATAAGCCCTTAGGGCTTAAAGGGACTCTACGCACATTTAACCTCTTAGATTCAGCGAAATCGAAAACGTAGCGAGTTTTAATTTTATCACAGCGCCATCTAGTACGCAGTGGATTAAACTTTCTCGCGAGTTGTTTAGTTCTGCTTCTGTTATAATAGCATCCTAAAGAGAAAAGAGCGCCCTCTGTCGTAATTTTTATGAGTAACATTCTGTTACGAGCTCTGGGGCCGTATTATGAACTCTTATTCCCATTCAGTTTACGGCTTAAACTGAACTGCCTGGCGATTTCGTATTACGAACGCTATTAAAGTCAAGTCATTTACAGCTGAACGTCTTCTGCCCGAAAAAACCGGCTATTTCGTATTATGAGCGTTTCATTTGACAGATCTAAGCGGACGCAACTGTCAAAAAGACCGTTTAAAAACAATTCAGTTTACGGTGGCTTCATATTAACTTTTATAGAATTGTTTTCTAATTTATAGCTTCATTATTGTAATTTGGTTATTATTTCTATTTTTATGTCAGTTTTTATTATGTTTATAACATGTTTGTGCAGTTATTTCGATTGTTTTTGTTTCGTTTTAATTTTAATTATGTGTGATGAACTCGAAGTATTTTTTTGGAAATGTGTGCATACGAAAAAGACAAAAAGTGAAAAGACGGCGATTACGCGACCAATCCAATAAAAATGAACAATTTAGAAAACGTTATAATCTAAATAAAGATTTGGTGTGTAATATGCGTGCGAACTCATATGCCGGTATCATCGAAATTTACAGACCTACCAGTGGAAACTAAGGTATAATGTATTGTAATTATTTCACTAAATCACTAGCTGACTATGTCAGGTTTTAGTATTATTATTTATGCTACAGGCATATTTATCAACGGATCTATTAGTGATATTGCTGTTCATTCTTTCGCACAGCCAATGGCAAATAACGTCGATTTATTGCATTTACCCAACATCCAAAAGTAAATACATATATAAAATTCCAAGGACATCTGAGTAAAGGATAGATAATAAATATTCAAAGGTATCTATTTCTATACAATTAGCAAATCTATGAGTACCATGTAACATACCATATGATATAGTGATAATATATATGGTAAAATGTATGCATACAAGTAAAGCCTAGAAAGCAAGTATACAAGTATACAACAGTCTGATGATGTATTCTCTCCGACTTTCTCCGAAAATTAATTAAATTAAATTAATTATATTTATTTTATAATTGGAATTTAATGCTGGGTGTATTGGGCTGTATACTGTACATAATTGTAAATAAAGAGATATTACTGTAGAAAACAATACCATTCATTAAATATATAATTGGTAAGTGAAATATAAATTAAAAGAGATGTTTAATAATATAAGCACTTTTAATATCTTTTTTTAATATAATTATATAAATTAAGAATATTAATTATTAATAATGATTATACATCTCTAAAGCTACTTATATATACACAATAAATTGTTTACTTAAATATATATATAACACTTAGACATATGTTTCAAATAATCTTCATCATGTAATTAATCTGGAAAAAAATTTAGGTTAGTAATGCTGACATGGAGATTATAAGTGTGGATGCCAACTGGAACTTATATACTCATGACATTTGGGCAAACCAGAGGCATTAATGCAACATCTAGAAAGATCTTAAAGAACTGGAATAAATCTTATGATTTCTTTTAAATAAAAATTTTATTATGAAACTACAAAAATCATTAAATCTAAGCCTAAACTAATATATTTAGAAACATAGTTATTTATCAGCACTAACAGTTATTGTGCTGTATTTTTAATGAAATAATACTTTTTGTAAATAAATATTAATATTATAGTATATAATATGTTGTTTTTTTTTTTAGGAGATCGGGATATGCTTTAGAGAAGTATGCTAAAATGCTATACCAGGACCACAAGAAGCATATTACACTCAAGAACATGGAATATCATTGAGAAAGCACAATTGGGCTTCTAGATTTAGATCTCTACATGTACTTTGAGCTCTTATAGAGAATGATCTAGCTACAACAACTGACAGAGATGATATATTAGTTGTGAACTAAGAAATTGAAACATTTATAAATAATAATATTGTTAATAGCTCAATGTTTTAATTATTTGTTTTTATAATAAATGATATAGGTACATTATTTATGTCTTTTATTGGTAGTTATAATTAAAGGGATATGATATTTTTATTATATACTAGTTATTATAGTTATTACCTATGACTTTGTCCATATGGCATACCTAGTTTTTGTTAAAATAAATAAAATATCTCAAATAAAAGCAACTTTATTCATTTACACAACATTACATATGACAGTGAAAGTATCCTATTTTTGGTCCATGTTTCAAAGATTTTCAAGAACAAACAAACGGACAGACAAATATATTTTTTTTAATGTCATTTACCTTATATATGTATGCATTTACTGAAAAGCTGTTGTATGGTGAACTTCAAAATTACAAACAGATACTTCAATTTATTTGCATAGATACATGTATTTCAGATTTAATTTCCTAAAATGATATAAATTAAAATTAGATTGTTCATTATAACAAAAATAACAATCCTTTCCAGTCTTTAAAACCCCCTTTTCCTAAGGAGTTTTTTGTTAGCGATGTATATCAATATAAATACTCACACAAGCGATTGGTATAACTTTTATTAAAATTTTTCCCTCTGTCTGTTTGTTCCGTCCCATATAATTTCAAATTACCGGTACGATACACGACGTTGGCGAGAGGTTTCAGTCCGTGATCTACAATTTAGTTAGATAAATATACAAATATAAAGAGTTAAATATTTGCATCATTTTAAAAAAAACATTACTAAGAAAATGTTTGGAATACTTACGTTACATTAGGTATATTTTTCACAATAATTGAATTATTAAATTTAACTTGCGTATAAAGTCATGGAAAGGCTAAGTTTCAAATTGTACATTAAAATCAGAATTAAGTACTTTGCGCGGAATTTTAAGTAGATGCACAAAGTTCGTTTGGATATTACAATGAAAATATTTTTTACAAATAAATCCGAATTATTAAAAAAGACAATAAAACTGTCTGGAATATTTTTGTATATTACACAAATTCTACCATTGTATCTTAATTACTGTTTTCTATATTTAATTTACATTTATTTAATTAATATTTTGTTCAAAAAGTGATACACAAAAACTCAACGAACGTTTTAACGAATGTTTATCCGAACGCAGCGCGAGAAAATCCACTAACCAGCCAGAGACAAACTATCCAGGCAGAATACGGTTTGAATTTGGACCCTCATAATACGAAAAAGAACAATTCAGTTTAAGGCCGTAAACTGAACTGCCTGGAAACTGACTGGATTTTAAAGAGTTCATAATACGCCCCCTGATATGGGACTTTAAAACTAAAATCAATTTAGGGTTGTGTGTTTTTTAATGCCACATTATAAAAAATGGGAAAAAACCGACCGATTGTATATGTATAATATTTAAATAGATAGTCGATTCTCAAACCTACTGAATATGCATATAAAATTTTATACATATCATTATATATATAGGTAGATAGCAAACTAATGAGCACCCGGGCAAAACCGAGTGATTGTATATATATATGTACAATAATATTCACCGACATATATATATGCCGGTGACATAAAAAATTACCATCATAACGATGGATTAGCAATAAAAAAAAATTGCTGATAACAATTTATATCTATCATATATACCTAGTATCAAATCGAAACGTTAGCCAGTTTTAACTTTATCACAGCTCCATCTAGTATTAACTACTGTAAACTTTGCTACAGCAAATAAAACTGTCGCGAGTAACGTCACTAGTAATGAACTAATATGTCGTTATTTTGGAATTTTTGTAGTTACTGTTTTTTAATCTAATTGGAATTAATTTAAACTAACAAACTGTCCGTCTATCTGATGGTAAGTGATAACCGTCCCGTATACACATAAACAGCACTACAGACATCACGTTATCATATTACCACTCATGCGTCTCCATTCCGGACGACTACGTTACCTGCATACCCTCATATACCGTAATTTCACAGTTTAATCTCCACTCTTCAACCAAAACACAGATTAAAAATGGGCTGCCAAGCAGCAAGCATCACTTTTTATATGTTATTTAACATTATTAATATTAAATTAAATAAATTTATTGCATAGATGTGGTTTGGTTTAATAATGGTTTAACAAAATGGTCCTAGCTGAACCGTGAAAAGTTGTTTTGCCATATAAATTAATAACGCTATAAAAAAAATAGGCGTTGATGATAGAAGGGTGAAAATTTAGGGTTGCATGTATTTTTAAAGACATATTATAATAATATAATAAAATAAAAAATTGTCCAAAGAATAAAAAAAAAGTTAGGGGAGAACAACTTATCATTTAGGTGTATGAAAACTAGATAGTAGCCGATTCTCAAACCTACTGAATATGCATATAAAATATCATAAAAATTGGTCAAACCGTTTCGGAGGAGTATGGTAACCAACATTGTGACACGAGAATTTATAAGATATCTTATTTAGGTGCACATTAGTATAAATAAATTCACAAACTAATGAGCACCCTGACAAAACCGAGCGATTGTATATGTATAATATTCACCGACATATATGTCGGTGACATAAAAAATTACCATCATAACGATGGATTAGCAATAAAAAAAAATTGCTGATAACAATTTATATCTATCATATACACCTAGTATCAAATCGAAACGTTAGCCAGTTTTAACTTTATCACAGCGCCATCTAGTATTAACTACTGTAAACATTTCTACAACAAATAAAACTGTCGCGAGTAACGTCACCAGTAACGAACTAATATATCGTTACTTTGGAATTTTTGTAGTTACTATTTTTTTATGTAATTAAAATTAATTGAAACAAACAAATATTGAGAAACAAAATAGTATATTAAAATGAGAAATAGAAATATAAATGCTAAATATAAAAGACGGTAATTATTTCAGATTCCGCTTTTGAGTGATTACTCTCAATTTCGGTAAGGTTAAAGGAGTCGACAATACCACTAGAACAAAAGAGGTGCAATTAAAAGAATAATATACCTTGTACGTGACTACTTTTGTTCCCTAATACCCGTAGCTTTGTTTAACAAAGCTGTAATTACGATTTCGGGGGTAGTCATGGAATAGTAAGTAATAATTAATAAGGCTACTAGACAAACAAACAAAAAAAAGATTCAGCCAAGAATACGATTAGAATTTATTGATTGTTTAAATAAACCTCTTTATTCAAATAAACTCAATACAAGCACTTTTGAATAGTCATATTTTTTATTCTACCACTCATTCAAAACAGATTCATCACAAGAACAATGAATAAAAAACTTATGTGTTGCTCTTTTGAATAATGTTTTTGTTAATGTTTTTTTTTAATAAATTTATGGTTAACATAGAACCGCTACACACTATTCTTAGTGCAATCAGATAATACTGTTAGCTTTATGTTTTTTTTTTACAAAAAAAATATTATAATTTACAAACTATATTAATACACACTATAATACTTAAACAATTACGCGTTACGCAACTATAAAATTAAAAACAAGTTTATTACATTCGTCGTATGCTGTAATTTTATGTACTTCAGTCTAATTTTAAGTTACTAGAATAGAATAGAAAATCATTTATACAAATAAACCTAAATTAATCACTCTTGAATCGTCATAACAATTTGTTTTTTATCTACCACTCGTTCGGAAAGCTGTCTCATCACAAGAAGAACGAGCAAGAAACTCGTGTGTTGCTCTTTTAAATAATCCTTGTAAGTTTACATTTACAAGTCGAAACGTGTGAATACAAACTACCTACCATCACAAATTTTTTGAATCAAATATATACAATAAGATTATATCAGTCGTAGTGATAAGAGCAGACCAGTTCCTACAAGCAGCACTCGTTCACGAGTATAACGGATGAGCCAGCCATCACTGCGCTCGACCATATTTTAGGGAGCCCAATGAGCCGGCCCACCACGCCGCCACATGTCTGGACATTTTAGTGAGCATGACTACTCATTCCACTCGACCACGTCACTGCTACATCTTCTAGTTTATATTCTCAATTCTTACCTTCTCTCTTTCTGGATGATGCATCAGTAGATATGACATTGCGCTGACTGCTTTCTCCTTGTTCGCTTCAACTGAATCATGAGCAAATTTGTTTAAGGCCTCCACATAAGCTGGAAATGAATTTTACATTATTATTTACATTATAAATTGCCTTTACTCATAAGCTTGCTTATTCACGTGTGAATTGGCTTTACGCAGGAAAGAATGTTCATGTAAACAACTATCTTTATACGTTTCATTCTTTCATGCGTGACTTAGCGCGGGGCATTTAATTTTTTTTCACTCTTTCGTGCGTATTTGCCCGTATATAACATGTACTTTCACTTTGTTTTAAAATTGTATATTTCATATCACAGATTTTATTTTCCAAGGACACAATTAAGTTTTACAAATTATCAATAACTCTACAATTGTCTTTGCTTCATAGTCAGATGTCAGCTATATTGCAATGATAATTAATGATTAAACAAAAAAAACGAGAAACGCCGCGCGCGTCGCTATTCGCGCATTCTTTAATCGTGTGTGCTTTGGCCCCGCTTTTTGTAATAATTATCATTCAAAATGGGCGATATCAGACTAGGGAGCAAAGACAAATCAAATCATTACAGGATATTTTAGCCGTTTATGAACATAATTTTTTTGGTATTAACATTTTTTCTCTACTGTAACATACAGGGTGTACCAGAACTCAACGTCAAGTCAAAACGGGGTGAGAGGATTGATTGTAACCACCATGAGAAAAATCTGATAAAAAATCTATACCATGTAGTTTGAAAATTATGGGCATTTAAGAAAAACCTAGAAATTTGGGCGACTCCTAAACTACTGAACCGATTGCAAAATTGATTTGCACATTGTGTGCAATTTGATCCAACTCGAAAGATAGGATAGCTTATATCTTAATTTATAGTCGCAATATTATTTTATTCTAGAATCTTGGCCACAATTTCGAACTACATGGTATAGATTTTTTTTCTAATTTTTCTCATGGTGGTTACAATCAATTTACCTTCCTTTTAAATCACTAACTATATATATATATATATATATAAATACACAATACGCAAGAGTGTTACATTACAGATAAATACTTACTTCCGTAAAGTTCCTTCAGCTGATCTTCATAGTACCACAGCTTCAATATGTTCCTCTTAGCCTGCTTGTTACCTGATGTCATTTCATCCAGATGCCCCAGTGGATGCTGCTCGAAGGTACGCAGCTTCACATTTGGAACCAGTAGCTCTGATACAAGCAATTCTGACAGTGCATCTGAAAATGAGACAGAACTTTTTGTAAGCTTTGCTTATTTTTTTATTTTATTAAATCAAGTAAAAAATAATTTCTTCATGTAGGACAATTAAGCCGATCAGTAACTATGGAGGAGCATGGTAACTAACATTGTGACACGAGAATTTTATGTATAAGACATGTATATAACAGAAATAATATACACAAAATCATGTAAAAAAAATTGTATATACTCACCAATAATTATAATACCATCCTTTTTCTTTGCAGGCTTTACACTGTTAACTAAATTCCTCAGTGCCGTCATATTGTATAATGGATTGTCCTGGAAAAATGCATAACATAATAAAGAAGTACTGTAACCAAAGGTTGTCACTGTTATACCTTTTAGGCTTCTAGGAATAAATAAAAAATACTCACATTGTCTGTAATTAATATTATTACTTTATGATATAAGTCTTTATCTTTAAAGTACATAACGGATTTTGATGCAGTCCTTAACAATAATTACGAGGAAGGTTTATATGTATAATACATGTACACCTGTGCAAAGCCGGGGCAGGTAGCTAGTTACATTACAAATAGTTTTTAAATTATGCAATAGATTTTAATACAGTTTTTAGCAATAGTAACGAGTGATTCAAGAGGAAGGTCTATATGTATAGTATATATAGACCCGCGCGTAACCGGGTCGGGTAAGTTATATTAAATACAAAGTATAAATATAAATACAAGTATAAATTAAATACAAACTTGTATCAATATTGTGGCGGCCGCAACCCTATCTCCAATTGCACCCTTGTTGAGCAGTGTCCTCGCCCACTGGTAGTCAGATGAACCACTCCTGTTTGACTCTGAAATTCAGCATCACATCCCTAATGATTATTTTATCTTTGATTTGATTGATTGAATGGCATATAAGCTCATGGCTGGCTAAATTGCGTACCTAATAGAAATCATCGCCTATACACAGTTCTTCCTACATAAAGAGAAAAACTTAAAAAGTAGAAATATGATTTAAGAGACGAGCCTATGGCCGATGACAAGGTGTGAGTAGATAATGTAATGAGGAAGTACATTACATAAAAGATAATAATAATCTCAAGACAATACACACAGCGCCATCAAGACCTAAGTTAAGCTAGCTAAAGCTTGCATTATGGGTACTAGATAACTGATACAAATACATAGATATAATAAATATCTGTAATTATCCTAGAATCCATTAATTTATTTATAGTCCTAAAGACAACCTACATGAAAGCTGGGTACATAGCCAAAAATAATAATAACTTTATTTAATTTCAATTAATTTCTTTTGAATTAGAATAAAGTTATTACTTTATTATAAAAAAAATTACTGGTTAAAAAGATTTAAAAACTTTCCATACAAATTGCATAGGGAATTTGTTTAGATTTATAGATATTATGCCTGTACATCCTCTTGGTATATCTTTTATCTATCTACAATCAGGTGGGCCATATCCTTGTTTCCTATTTCAATTACATTAAACAAAATTGTTGTGCCATAGTAACTATTATAAATTGTTACATACTCGTCTCATAAGCCATAGTGTCCCCATGGAGAGCACTATTAGCCTCTTTTCTCAGCTGCTCCACTTGTTCTGTTGGTATTGTTTTTGTGGCAACATTTGGTTCTTCAGGCACCTGAAAATGACCACACAAAGAGAATTAATGAAAGATAAGTAGTGATTGATTTTTTGTACTTTGTATTACTTAAGCATTTATCCAATTTTGTGACTTTAGTAAATTGTTCTCCTCCATGTTACTTAATGATTCATTCAGTATTTATGTAACTTTTGTCAGTTGTTCTGAATACACCAGCAAAGGTAAAAAGTAAAATCAAAGTCATATTATAAAAATTGTCTGCATGGGTATATTAGTCGTCAACTATTTCAGCCACCAAGCTTTGCTTAGGAAGCTGTGTTTCAGTGTAGGAACAGACTAAGCTGTCAAATTACAGGATAAAAGGCATGTCATCTTAGTCCACTGAGTGTTACAGTTGTATGATGCAGATTATGTAGTTAAATTACAGGATAAGAGTCATGACATCATAATCTTCTAAGATGCAATAAATGAGTTATATTCTAGGTGACACATGAAAATTCCCATATTGCCGTCCATGTACCATTTACCAACAGTAGGACTAACAGTTTTAGTGTCAATTTAAATTATATAAATAAAAATTGTTTCCAATAAAGAAAATTTTTGTATCTCTGTAATTCATATTAATATCTTAATTAATTTAAAAAATTAGACGCATATTTACCTATGTAGTATGTGAAGTTATTATTTATGCAAATAAAACAGATATAAATTATAATATGACCGAAGTCACTGGCAAATCTAGTATGAAGTTTGCATTTCTTGACTCTATGTTTCAACAATGTTATACAATTGATCCGAACATGGTTCTAAAATTGTAAAAGGACATCTATTCTCTACTTTATCTATTCTCCACTTAACCTATTATTTATGAATTAAGCATGTTTAAGTTATTAAATAAGCATGTTTGAGCCCTTATGAAAGAAGTATGTTAAAGTTGAAAGTAACTGGAGTGGATATACAAGTCAAAAAGGTCTACATTGTTATTACAGAAAACAATTTTATAATAATGCAGTTAGGAAATAAAAGCATTTACAAAAAGGTTAGTTTAACTATAAATTTATTTTGTACAGATACATGAAACAAATAAACATATTAAACGAAGTCATGTAATTTTCTTATACAAAGAGTTCCTCACCTGATGGTACCATTTCTTCCTCTCTTCATATTCTAAATTATCTGCGAAATTCTTCGCAATACCTTGACTTTTCTTTTCATCAGCATTTTTATCCGGCTTACCGTAATTTGTGTATGCCTCGTCCACTAGTATGTTCTCTTCAAATCTTTTATGCTTCATAATGATTTAGTTCTGAAAAAAACTAAATATAATACGAGTGAAAACAAATATTTTAAGAAAAACTTATATTCACATGGTGCAATGTGTGTTATTGTATGTAATTACAGAGTAATTTACACGGAACTGAAACAGAAGCCAGTACAGTCTGTATAGTGACTACAATTCTTTCATCGGTAATGAACATCGATACTATGTGGTATCGACGTCAAGTCTTCAACAATATTGACAAAAAAGGACGGTTAATAGGTTATCCACAAAAAGCTCTTAAGGTTACAAAAAAAACAATAAGTAAGATTAATTAGGGAACATTACTGACCTATTAAATAAAATAAAAACACTGGTTTGATTATCTTAACTCGATGCTTTTCAATCGTTTTCAACATCGATTTTTGCATATATTTTTTTTAATTTCTTGGAACATAAACACAAACTACAACGGTGAATGACATCAAATCTAATTAATAGTGTGTCATTTCTATGTCAGTTGTGTGAACTGACATATTTCGTAAATATACTATCAATTGCCATCGGTGATTTAGTTGGGTGTAGTTTGAATACATATTCCTAAATTTTATGAACAAATAATTTATCTTAACTAACTTAATTGTATAAAATTATTAACATTATGGATGATCAGGGACGTAAAGTGATTGTTTGTGACAATGGCACCGGTGTAAGTGTTCAACTGAATATATCATTTAGTATTTCCTATGACTCAGTCTTAAGTGATAACACTGTTTCAGTTTGTGAAATGCGGCTACGCTGGCAGCAATTTCCCTGCTTTTATATTCCCGTCGATGGTCGGGAGGCCTATCATTCGAGCGGAGAATAAAATTGGTGATATTGATATTAAGGTACGTTACTCCTTTGATATCCGTCTGTAACTTAATTTAGTGAGAAGGATGGTTAAAAGATGGGGTAAAATGATTTAAAGGCTATGGGGCTACTTATAGGGGAGGCACTGGACAGCTGTCCTGAAATTAATACAATACAATACATTATGCATTAACTTTAACAAGAATCACTACCTTAAAATAATCTTACTAGACCCCCCATGGGACTGAAGCAAGCCTGTTTGCCCCAATTACGGTCAGAATGTGGTATGTCTATTTATTATCAGTGTTCATAAGAGTTATGAAGGTTGATAAGCAAGAGTGGTGTGTAAGGATGGATTTTTGGTACTCTTGGTTTACTCTGTCTACCCCATAGTGAAACTGATGTGAAGATACTGTCCCTATATTGTGCCCAAAATTCTTTCCATTATATCTATTATAAAATAATTATGTTCTATTTAATATAAGTTTTGCCTGTTACAATATTTATTAGTCACTTAAATTATTGGGTATATAAAAATATATATTTAACAAAATTCTTAATAGAAAGTACAATGTAAATATGAAGTACAAAACTATATGGCCAGTATGTCAGCAACAATAAGTATTAATTGAAATTAGAATTTATATCTATTATATGGCAGTAACTATTAAAGTAAAACAATAAGGAAATTGTTATTAAATTATATTATACATATTATTAAAACAATTTTAGTAATATACTAATGATTGTCAATTATGAATCATTAGTGATAATATTAATATACAATGGACTATCTGTTAATGAAATTAAATTTTAATTAAAAAAAAACCACAAACTCCTACAAACCCACTTGAACTGTTACAATATTATATTTTTTCAAATTGAGAATAGAGATCTTGAGAGGGTAGTTACCTCCGAACTTCTCACTCTAACAGAGTAACTAGTGGTGACAAGTAAACAATGTAGAATAACAAATTTGTTATTTGATCATGGTTTATCTGCGATCCGTATGTCTACTATAATCGGATTGGTTGGCAAATGGCAGTGAGAGTCTGCAGTCCATTGAGTGCAAGACTTCTTTTTTAATGATGCCCTCTGGCATACATTCCGGCGTTTTGGGGGGTTGTCATTTAGTAACCTCTGAGCTAGTTCATTAGGGTGGACACTCAGCCAAGTCTTGTATTTTGAGCATGAATAGAATAACAGATAAACAAAATTATATTTCTAAACAAGATAAAAATAAATAAAAACATGTTTATTACAACACTATAGATAGTTCTGTTATTCTTCATGAAGGCAACAATGTACACTGTTTTTTCAAGTATTCAAATCTATATACCTTGTCTGCCATATCAGCAAGTCTGATTATCAATTGCATACCTTATTCTAACAGATCTGAAGACACAATGCAATGATTAAAATAAATCTAAAATGTTATTATTAGATGCTCATAGCAACACAAAATCTGATTGTAGCTGGAAGGGCTGATTGCAGATAGAAAATAAATTATTATAGAATAAGAATTTTGAATTTTAGTTGTTTTTGTCAGAACTCCTTTTGTCAGGTCTAGTTTCAGACATGTTAACTGGTGTTATTTTTATGAAGCTGACTGTACCATATATGTATATTATCATTTCTTAGCAATAGCCCTTGTAATACAATAATTTTAATGGCATATATTTTACATCTCCAAAGATCTTCTTCTGTCAGGTCTAGATTAGAACATAATAAAAACAACTGAATGTATTGTGAAGCTGACTGTACCATATATGTATATAATCCATTTCTTTGCAATAGCCTTTGTTATACAATAATTTTGACCATGGTGTATATTTTACAGGATTTATGTGTGGGAGTAAGAATTGGTAAAATCTATGCATGGTTTTGATGGCCATATAACTAAGTTGTATTTCTTTTATATTAAAAGCATGTATAAATATAACAGTAAATTTAAAATAATATCTAAAATTATGTACATACAACAATTAACCAAAACAGAACTAACCAGTAAAAAAAGGGTTAAATATTCATATACAAGGTTATAATAAATAAATAACCTCAGACATTTAACACAGCTCCATCAACATCTAGTGCTACTATAAGCAGAGCTTGTGTTATAGGTACTATACAACTGATAATACATCGTTTTTTTGTAAATACATACTTAATATACACAGAAAACACTAAGACAGATACAAACAATAATACTCATGAATCCAAAAGTAAAGTGGTGTGCTAAATCGCTAGTCCACCGAGGCCGTCAAAAAAAAACTATACAGTACTGATTTAACTACAACTTATAATTATTTCTAATTTTATATATCATATCTACAATTTCACGCTCTCCAGGCATTTCATCCAGAAATAGTGCAGGTAAAACTGAACTGAGATACAGACTAACATCTAAAAGCAGTGTATTGCAAATTTACCATTTATATTTACAGATTATATAATATTTTAGCACTGTCTCATCGCACTTAATAATTTAAGCAATTAGAATAAACTTTTCTAGTACCAAGTTTGCTTTGGCTGATTTTTTCAAGAAGCATAAAACATCGTAGTTTTTTTAATTGAGCGAATCGCGAAGCGCGGGGCGATCTTAGAGATTTGATCAGACCGATCGAGACCAAAATTTCATCGAAAGTCGCCTTCGGCCCTCCCATCGTTTACCACCTAAAAATCCGATCGGTCAAGTTCGAGTTTTTAAGAACAAACGCGCTCCGCTCAACATGTGACCTGGTGTGTAAATGACACACCGGTAACGAACCTAGTTAATATTGAAATAGCTTTCTGTTGTTAGTTATGATTTTACTGCAGTTAGTAGCATAGCATGTACATATTACATAGCACTAGTAAGCAAATGCTTGCAGTAATTACTACTATTTTTAGTTTTATATCTCTATTCTTTTATATGCCGAAAATAGATGCTACATTGTCGAATATAAAATATCTTATATACATTAATTTACATATATAAATTTATATGCATCTATAGCATACATAGAACAAAGTAATACATCTGCAATGCAAATAAATGACTTATTTACAAAAATAAAACATAAAAAACAGTAACAAATGAAAATAAATAAAAATAAAGAAGTATACGCTGAAAAAGTATATTTATAAACGATTCTGTTTTGTTACAGTGAAACATATTATTCTAGATTTGATATATATTCCTAGATAGACTTATTAAGAAGTTATCTGCGTGGCCATCTCAGTCTCTACTACCTCGCCTATGTCAAGCAGCTTACCACCCAGAATGAATACAAATATTAGGACTGTGCGAGGAATCGAACCCGCGACCATTATATATAAGGCGGTGTGTTACATTACAAAAGCCGTCATATATATCATAGAAATTTCTCTATAATGTTGTCTACATTATAAAGAAATTTCTTCACGTTTAATATACTACTGGGGGAATTATTATATTGCTTTAAATATAGTAAAATCATGTAAAAATTTTAACGTTGATTGTTCTTAATTTGTGTTGTGTATATATTTGTTTTTATACTAATCATGTTTTATATATGAATCAAGTTTTGCATAAGTTATTAGGTCCTAAGTTTTTGCTGTTTGGAAAACTTTGTTTTGTTCTTAATTTAATGCTTTAATAATACAAAACTAATAATAATAACTTGTGTCTATTAGCATTTTTTTAGCACTATTTAGATCCTATGAATATGAACCTTCTGCAAATTCTTCTGAAAGACGTACTTTCTACTCGTAATCATGATTTGTCGGTGACGAGACTGTACCGAAAGTGGTAGAATAAAAAACATAGGACTATTCAGGTGTTTATATTTAGTTCCTTTGAATAAAGATTGTTTCTATTTTAATTGTCATTGCGATAAAAAGTTAGATCCTTCTCAAAAACTATCTGTATTCCAAATTTTAAGATGTTTTGTTAAGTCATTAAGAACGTGTGTTATGTTTTACAATTATTAAATATCGTAGTTTATTGTAGTATTAAAACGCGAAGTTTTTGTGGTTAATAAAATTCATATGTATAGTTATTTTATATGTATAATTTAGCAAATTATATATTACATATATAATCTTTATTGGTAACTTTATGACCGTTTATAACTGCCCCACAACACTTTCTATATACCTAAAGGTTAGCTGGTGGAGATACAGCCTTGAACTCGCCTTTTTGTACAAGTTATATTGTGCATTAAATAATAAATAAAGATTATTGAGAATGAGTCATAAATTTCTGTGTATCATTTTTTTTTATTGGGGTGTTTGAGCTATTGTCAGGTGCTTGGATCTGTAGCACTGCGATCTACATAGATCTATTGTTCTCGCCCTTTTTCAGAGTTCGCTACCCTAGACCCGTCAGGGACAAAAATTTAAGTTTTTCTTTTTTTTTATACTACTATTCTTAGGAGCGATGGTGTTTATCTCCTCAGCAAAGAGTGTAAACTTTCCAAAGGAGATATTACGTTTATGCATAAGTGGGCTACGACTCCATAAGATGTGTAGTGGCGTTTCCTCTTCAGTTTGGCGACACTTTGGGGGTAGATATAAAAATGAATATAGGTTGGACTCTTCTGAGCCGTTATGTAAAAAAAAGCACCTGATTTTAACTTACTAGGTAGTTGTAATTAGATGCAGTTGTTTTAGTGTAGTTTTAGTAAACACACATAGAAAACCAATTCTAATTCGTTCTTTTGTTGCCTTCGGATCGGCTTTTTCATTCTTTTGGCTTCTGTTTTATTATGTATTAACATACACATACCTACATGACGGTAACTTCAAATAGGATAGACAGAAATATAAAAAATTGTCGACATTGTTGTAAATGCAACTCTCATATGAATGCCTACAACAGTTTCTCATATGAATGCCTATTTATATATAATACAAAATGGATAAGGCTGGATGATTTCCCGGGCATGATGTTGTCATTAAATAATTGACCAATTCAGTATGTGCTTTATATGTATCAGGAGTAGAGGTCAAATTGCAATGTATATATTTGTATGTTGGCAGGATTTGATGGTGGGAGATGAGGCGTCACAGCTTCGTTCCATGTTGGAAGTCAGCTATCCGATGGAAAATGGGGTAAGTCTATCTCTACTGCCATAGTAATGTAAGTTCAAAAGTATGTCTATCTGTCACCATTTCACGACTAAAGTACTGAAGAGATTTTAATAAATTTTGATTAGAATATAGGCAATCTTTTGTTTTAAAATAGCTTGTTAAGGCTGTGAAGACAGCTAGTCAGGGCAGTTCAGACAGTCATAGTAATATTATAATAGCAAAACTGTGGGTTGTCTGTCTGTCACTTTGTCACTGCTGAACGGCTGACCACTTACCATCAGGTGGACAAAGTTTGTCATTTTAATTACATAAAAAAATTGATCGACAGGTGGTTCGCAATTGGGAGGATATGTGTCACGTTTGGGACTACACGTTCGGTCCCAGCAAGATGAACGTCGACCCCAAGGAGACGAAGATATTACTCACTGAGCCACCCATGAACCCTACCAAAAACAGGGAGAAGATGATTGAGGTATAATAATAATAATGTCAGGACAATACGCACAGCGCCATCTAGACCCAAGTTAAGCTAGATAAAGTTTGTGTTATGGGACTAGGTAACTGATACAAGTACATAGATTTTTTAATATTTTATTATATTATATTATATATAGAAAATTATACCTCGATTAACGAACAATCATGTATTTTTTATTTGGGGGGGGGGGGGGGGGGGATGTTTGGGTTTACGCTGGCGGGGCACCAGTGGAGGGTGATAAGATGAACATGAGGTCAGGTCAGTTAGTCCATCGTGACAAATTCACCAGGGATTTATCACGATGGTTTCCAGAGGTACCACGTGGAGGTCAACCTGACATGGTATATTGCTAGCAATGAGATTATACTCAATTTACTTACCCCCCCTGGTTTGGCCTATTCCCCTGACAAGCCTAGCTAAGTCTAGCGACCTATAGATCTATTTCTTCGGCATTTTTCAAAGTTACGTACTACCCAGTTAAGTACTACTCAGTCCCGTTAGGGACAAGAATGGAAGGATATTCTTAGGAGCGATATTTTTTATTTCCTCAGGATAGAGTGTATACTTTCCAAAGGAAATAGTTCGTTTATCCATGAGTTGCCTACAACCTCATAAGTGTAGTGGCGTTTCCTCTTCAGTTTGCCGACACTTAGGGGGTAGATATAAAAATGACAAAATTGGCGAAATCTGCAGATTGATGTTAAGCTAAGGTCCAAAATTCGCCATGTGTTTATTCAATTTGCAAAGTCCAGAAAAGGCCCCAGTCATGATGCATATATTGTTTTTACTCAACAGTAACCTTGTTCGTATGTCATATGTTTATGTGTAATTCTGAATGAGTATATAAATATCTAAAACCCAAAATAATTTTAATTGCAGGTCATGTTCGAGAAGTACGGGTTCGATGCCGCGTACATAGCGATCCAAGCCGTCCTCACTTTGTACGCGCAGGGGCTTATATCAGGCGTCGTAGTAGATTCAGGTATGTCTTTTAATATTAACTTGTGATTTGCCCCGGTTTCGCACAGATGCAATTGCAGATATCTTTGTCCAAATTAGTTATAAATAACATAAGTGTTGTATTAATACGTGAAGCGATTTTGTACCTCTGTTTACGAAAATAGCAAGACTATGAAATTTCGTACACATATTGTTTTTTTTTTTAGAAATAATTATAATATATCTAGAGAATTCATACAGCGCCACGCTAAGCATGCTTGAATAAATAATAATATATAAATAACCCTGGACAAATAACACAGCGCCACCTAGTCCGACGGTAAGCAGTTTGTGTTATGAGTACTAGTCAATTGATGTAAATCTAAATATATATAACTCAAAGGTGACTGACATAGTGATCTATCAACGCACAGCCCAAACCACTGGACGGATCGGGCTGAAATTTGGCATGCAGGTAGATGTTATGACGTAGGCACCCGCTAAGAAAGAATTTTGATAAATTCTACCCTCAAGGGGATGAAAGTTTGTATGAAACTCACAAAATTAAACCGATCGGGCTGAGATTTTGCATGCATAAAAAAAAGGTTTTTTATAAATTCCACTCTTAAGGGGATAAATTAACGCGAGCGAAGCCGCTGGCAAAAGCTAGTACTTAAATATATTTGTTTTTGTAAACACATATAGTATGTATACATAGAAAACACCAAGACCGATATAATCAATCATACTCATGAATACAAAGTTTGTACCATGCTAGGAATCGATCCCGTGAGTATCGGAAAAAAACCACTAGAGCACTGAGGCCGTCAAATTGAGCAATAAGCAATCTCTTATATTTTTTTATGTCTTTTATTCTATTATAGGCGATGGAGTAACCCACATATGTCCGGTGTATGAAGAGTTCGCTCTGCCCCATCTCACCAGACGGCTGGATATAGCTGGCAGAGACATTACTAGATATCTTATAAAGGTAATGTATTTTTTATTATTACCTGATTTCTTTTATTTATTTATATATATTCAAATAAAATTCATAGCGCTGACAGTATTATATGAAGAATTTCTCTTGTTTTTTGCAACATTTCTCACTGATGCTTCGCTTCTATTAGTCGTAGCGTAATGGTATATAGCTTAAAGCCTTCCTCGACAAATGGGCTATCCAACACAAAAAATAATTTATAAATTCGAACCACTAGTTCCTGAGATTGACGCGTTCAAACAAAGAAACAAACTTCAGCTTTATAATATTAGTAAATTATATAACGGTTTAATAGTTCTGTGATAAACATGACAAAATTACAACCAAATTGATAATTTATTGACATACGTGTAAAGTTTAAAATGTCATTTTGCCTTTACAGTTGCTGTTACTCCGCGGGTATGCATTCAACCATTCCGCTGATTTTGAAACAGTCCGCATGATGAAAGAAAAACTCTGCTATATCGGGTACAACATTGAACAAGAGCAGAAGCTGGCGTGGGAGACCACAGTGCTTGTTGAACCATACACGGTGCGTAAAGTTTTTTTTTTCTATATTTAATCGAATGTTTTTCGGAATACTCTAATGTTGTTGTCCGCAGCTGGCCTTTACAGCTGCACCGGACGATAGGGTGCGAGTGCAGATTGCACTTCAAACCAAAGGAAGTACTTATGGAGTGGCTGAAGGCAAACTTCCGTCTAACGGATACGTATTTATTCTGAGTCTAGCAATGCCCTCAGACTAAATAAGGATTCGAATCTTGGCTCGGGCCGTCGTAATTTCGATCCCCGTTTGAATTGGACTATTTTGCGAAAGTCCATTTCACTACTTAATAAATATAAATAAATAACTCTGGACTATTAACACAGCGCTATCTAATCCCGAGGTGATACGTATTTATTCTGAGTCTAGCAACGCCCTCAGACTAAATAAGGGTTCGAATCTTGGCTCGGGCCGTCGAAATTTCGATCCCCGTTTGAATTGGACTATTTTGCGAAAGTCCATTTCACTACTTAATAAATATAAATAAATAACTCTGGACTATTAACACAGCACTATCTAATCCCGAGGTGATACGTATTTATTCTGAGTCTAGCAACGCCCTCAGACTAAATAAGGGTTCGAATCTTGGCTCGGGCCGTCGTAATTTCGATCCCCGTTTGAATTGGACTATTTTGCGAAAGTCCATTTCACTACTTAATAAATATAAATAAATAACTCTGGACTATTAACACAGCGCTATCTAATCCCGAGGTAAGCAGAGCTTGTGTTATGGGTAGACTAGACAATTGATATAAATACTTAGATACTTTTTTTTTAAATACATACATAATATACATAGACAACACCGCTAGATCCCCGAGGCTGTCTAATGTGAAAGTGTATAAATAAATAAATATAAACGTAATATTATATACTGTTTTAAATTTAAGGCAGATATTATCTATAAAATGTTATTTTAGTGTATGTACCGTATTTAAATTCATATACATGTAGTAAAAACGGTAAAATATTACAAACAGACACTCCAATTTTATTTATATGTATAAAACATATAAATAAAATTGTATACATGCATATGAATTTAAATACGGTACATACACTAAAATAACATTTTTTACAATTTTTGTCTGTTTGTTGCGGCTAATCTCTGAAATGGCTGGACCGATTTTGACGGGACTTTTTTTAATGAAATAAAGAGTAAATAAGGCTACTTTTATTTTAGAAAAATAAAGTTAAATTCCACGCGTACGAAGTCGCGGGTAAAGCTAATATAATATAAACTTAATATTATATATTGTTATAAATTTGACGCGATCATTATTTATACGTATAATTAGAAAAAATGAGCCGATCGTACCACGTTGTATTTATTTTTATCGAGTTCAAGATATTTCAGCAGTGTTTCAACCGCCATGATCATGATGTTATATATACGTATACTGACTATTGCAGCTACCTGACGGGCGCGTGATAAAAGTGGGAGGTGAGAGGTTCGAGGCTCCGGAGGCGTTGTTCCAGCCCCACCTCATCAATGTTGAGGGTCAGGGGATCGCAGAACTTGTGTTCAACACAATACAGGTATGGATTTTTTTAATGGATGAATATGGAATGGTGCACATACCTGCTCTAACGGTTTCCGCTTGCGCAACACCGGTGGACGATGATAAGATGAGCATGAGGTCAGGTCAGTTAGCCCATCGTGACAAATTCATCAGGAATTTACTTACTTTTATTAATTACTACCTGTTCCCGCGACTTCTTCCGCGTAGAATAGTGACCTTGAATAGCATTTTTAATTATTAGGGTTAATTATAAATATCCAATTGAAAAACTTTCGTCATTCCAGCTTTATAAATGACGAATTTGCATACCAACTTTTAATGTTGTATTTACTTATATTTAATCAATAGTCTAATAAGTTTTAAGCTTTAAAAATGTATGTGCTGTACTTTCATACAACAATTCATCACCCCTTTCAACCCTTTTTTTCCCATTAAAAAGTAGTCCATGTCCTTTCTCAGGGTCTAGACTATCCTGGTATCAAATTTCATTTAAATCAGTTCAGTAGTTTTGGAGTGAAAGCGCGACAGACAGACAGAGTTACTGTCGCATTTATAATATTAGTAAGGATATAATAAAATGTTAACTTATTGTAGGCGGCTGATATAGACATGCGGAATGAGTTGTACAAGCACATAGTGCTGTCCGGAGGCTCCACTATGTACCCGGGGCTGCCCTCGCGGCTCGAGAGGGAGATCAAGCAGTTATACCTCGAGAGGGTGCTCAAGAATGACTGCGACAAACTGGCCGTAAGTATTCCTGTCAACCAATCAATCAGACATTGAAACCTTCAAGAAAAGAGTGTATTCCTTCTTAAAATGTCATCTCATGCATGTTGGGTCTTAATATAGTAAATAGTTAATTCAAAATGAGGAAGTCAAAAATTTACCTGTGATGTGACAGGTATTGTGGCTTTTTGTTAGAGATATTTTTCTATACTACTATGGTGGCAAACAAGCATACGGCCACCAAATACTCCAATCGATTACTGCTATTGAGTAAAAACAACATATGCATGATGACTAGGGCCCTCACAGGACACTGCAAATTGAACAAGCATATGGCTAAGCTAGGCCTATGCACGACTAGTATCTGCAGATTCTGCCAAACTGAAGAGGAAACGCCGCTTCACATCTATGTGGTTGTAGCACTCATGCATAAACGAAATATCTCCTTTGGAAAGTTCACACTCTTTCCCGAGGAGATAAAAACGATCGCTCCTAAGAATATCCTTCAATTCTTGTCCCTGACGGGTCTAGGTAGCGAACTCTGAAAAGGGCGAGCACAATAGATCTTTGTAGGTCGCAGTGCTACAGGTGCTACACATCTGACAATAGCCCAAACAACCCAATAAAAAAAAATAAAAAAAGCATACGGCCCATCTGATGGTAAATGGTTACCGTAGCCTATAGACGCCTGAAACACCAGGGTTGTTACGTGCGCGTTGCCGACCCTTAAGAAACCTTAATATACCCGCCTTGAAAAAACCCATGTTGTAGTCTCGTGAGAAAACCTCGGCAGGTAGTTCATTCAACAATATAAGTATACACGGGGGGAAGCTCCTCTGAAACCGCACTGTCCGAAACCACTTAGGTTCTAGCGTATGGGGATGAATTCCCTGTTGATTGCGAGTGGTGCGGCGAGATATGTTTTATTAGGATGAATATTTAGTGTTTGCAAACTATTTTTAAATGTTTTGAGTACAATACCTGTAAAAGAAAGTACAATATGTACAGTTTCGGCTGACCATTGTGTTTTTATTATTAATTTCTTTTAGAAATTCAAAATCCGCATCGAGGACCCGCCGAGGCGTAAGGACATGGTGTTCATAGGGGGTGCTGTGCTTGCTGAAGTGTGTAAGAACAGAGACAACTTCTGGCTCTCCAAGAAAGAGTATCAGGAACAGGTGGGTTTTTTTTCTATCTTTTTTATGTTTGGAAGAGGACGGAGCGGACCACCTAATGGTAAATGGTAACTGTTGGCAATATACTTGAACTTATGTATCTGTAGCAATAGTTTATACGCTACGCAGCATACATTGTAAGATGTGCACCTGTTGAGTGCAATGATGAATGTTAAATAGAGGAAGAAGATAGTAGCAATATTGAATTTTATTTTTATGGATGATAATGGAATGGTGCAAAGGCAGGTGTTGACGGTTCACGCTGGCGAGGCAGTGAAGGATGGTAAGGTCCGGTCATATAGCCCATCTTAGCAATTTATCACGATAGTTTCCGTAAGGCAGAACCATGTGGAGTTCAACCTAACGTGGTACATTATATAGCAACACCTACAACCTAGCAATGGGGTTATTAGTCCAGGTTGTATTGAGTTGATATATTTTGTTATTATATTAATATTATTGTTTCCAGGGCCTCTCCTGTTTACGGAAGTTGGGACCAAGAGCCAGCTAAATATAAGACTAAGACTACTTTCCAATAAATAAATTTTCTATTATTAATTTAATATGGAGCAACATACCAGTAAATAATATTGTATATCGACTTAATGATTAAATTTATTAATTAAACTAAAGCAAGCATTTTTAATACCTATTTTTAAGACTTAAATGTGTTGGAATTAGCTGTAAGATATTTAATAAATAAAGAAAATATGTATTGTATGTATTTAAATAACTATATATTATCCCTTTACATTATTCTTATTCGGGAATAATGAAATTAAAGACGCAGAGTAACTTGTATGACTTTTATATTGAATCTTATAAAAACTACAAAAGTAATCTATAACTTTAATCTATTCGAAATACCAACACACAAGTTTCTTGCTCATTCTTATAGTGATGAGTCTGCGTTCCGAATGACTGGTAGAATAAAAAAATATGACTATTCAAAAGTGCTTGTATTGAGATTATTTAAATAAAGATTATTTCTATTTCTTTAGGTTATAAGAAATGCTATTTCTTAATAAAAGACATTATTATTAGTTGAAGCCGTTTCGGAGGAGTATGGTAACTAACATATATGTATATGTTGGTCCATAAGATACAATATGGGCAATTAGTATCCTGAATAAGTAATATGAAAAAAAGGATAAACTTAATTATAGACAGAGCAAAGGTGCACTTATCTCTAAAAGAAATTTCTAACAGTCAACCTAATTGTGTCGGTAAAACTAGCAGAAATTGCAGTATGATGTTGAAATATATTATATCGACTCAAAATACCTCGGAATTACAGAAAATTTTGTAGTAGTTCTGGTAACACTACATTTAAAAGTGTTGTAACTTTTGTTTTTTCGGAATACTCTAATGCTGTTGACGGCAGCTGGCTTTTACAGCTTCACCGGACGATAGGGGGCGAGTGCAGATGGCACTCCAAACCCACGGAAGGACTTATGGAGCGGCTGAGGGCCAACTCCCGCCTGACGGATACGATTATTATAACTTTAGAATGAAATATGTAATTTTTGATAAAATGTAATGTTAGCGCGATTCAATTTCTTATGAGCGCCATCTAGTTATGAATGTTAGTAACATTGTTATATTGTCTACTGCCATGCATGCCATTGTTATTCTTATAGCAATAATTTAGAAACCAGTTTCTCTCTATAATATTAGTTTAGGAATAATCTAGAAGATAAAAAAAATACTAGAGTGATTTAGTAAAAAATTATGTATTTACAATCTCTTGATTCAATTATTTTATCACTGTATTGCAGATAGTAGATGCATAGTGTTTCATTTTATACTTTACAATTCATCTGTGATATAAACTAATTTACTTCCATAATTGCAATTATTTACAGTTCTCCAGATAATTACAGAATTGTGTTTAATTATAAGAAACATAATTGTACTTGGTCATAATGGTATATAAGGTCTCAGATCGGTCGACATGAAGCTTTATGCTCTTCTAGTTGATAGTCTTCGCTTTACACGTAGCCAACGAATATGAGGTATCAAATCAAATAAAAAAATATTTATTCATGTAGTCGCTCTCTCTCGCATTTTAGTCGCTTATTGTACATTGCTAGAAATAGGGTTAGTAGTTAGTTAGTCCTCATTACTAACCATCTCCTTCCCCCCAATACAATATGTTATAGATGTATTTATTTAAGAAGAAATTTAATTAAGCCATTGAATAACAAATTTAATCAAATCAAAAATCATTTATACATGTAGGATATAGCCGTTTATGAACGGGGACAGTGAGTCCACTCATGCGTTGTCATTCCTGATGACTAAGTTTTCATGCCTCTTATCCTGTAATTTGACCCTAGGACCGAGATACAGCTTACAAAGCAATCTGCTTGCTTATCTGCTGGGACTGAAGTAGGAGACTGAGGTATAACGCTCCGACGACGTTTTACGTGGTCAAACTTACGACAACGCTTATTTTTTATCAGGTATCAAGTCCCAAGCTAAGCAGTGTTGTGGGTACTAGACAACTGACAGAATATTTAGATATTGTTTTTTTCTTCTAAATACGTACATAATACACATAGAGCACCCAGACTGACAAAATCATATTTATGAATACAAAAGTTTGTGCCGTGCGAAAAATTGAACCCGCGACTTTCGGATGTAAAGCGGTGTGTTAAACCACTAGACACTCGAGGCCGTCATGGGTAACAATATAGTATTAATTTCTTCCAGGAGCCAGGAGGTGCTGAAAGTAGCCAATTGGCTGAACATTAAAATAACTCAGGAGAATTGAATACGCAGTAAAAACACAAGCAATAATAATAGTTACATTTATTAAAAAATTGCAAATGTCCAATACATTGTCTTACGATATATTAAAATACATTACTTATACTTATTTTAAAAAGTAAAAAAAAACACCGTGAATATCACATAATACCTACGCATAAATATATTAAAACTAACGAAATAATATATAGATTTTCCTAAATTTTACTTCAAATACGAGTTAAATCATCCAGAGAGCTAAATACAAGTCTATAAAGTGAAGTATTTAGAAAAGTAGCTCAGAGTAATTACGCTACGTTTTATAAGAAGTTTGCACCCCTTTTAATAGAATTGTACCAAAACTGAATCTATGTAACAATCTGTAATGTTTCTATACAAAAGATTGTACAGTTTCACACAAAAATTGTGTTATTTTAATTGAGGCGGGCTTTCATATTAGTACAAAAGTTTTAAATTGAATCTATTCAAGGAACTGCATGTAAATATGCCGTACTAAAAGTAATAAATATCTCAAGCTGCATTTTGACATAGCGGCTTCGGTATTCTAAATATTAAAATCAAATTTATAAAGTATGAGACTAATAATCTATATTCAAAATAATTAATCAAAATTTTAAGAATTATTCCGATTACTTGCAGTAATGGGGTTGACATGTCTGAAAACAAAAACCCCAAAAATAGTCTAGATTAAAAAAAAAATAATCTTCTGCTATATTTGAGCTCAGAGTAAATATGAAATCATTTTCATTCACAACTCTATGGAATTTAACTGCCTTGGCTTTTATATACGTCATGTGTAATATTCACTATTTAATCTTTATTTTGTTTACAATTATATTATATAGTAACATTGATTACATTTTCTAATTAATTCCCGATTTTTCGACGCTCTTACAATATGGGTTGACTGGAGATAGCGGTGGAAGCGCTATGCGCATTTTTTTAGTCACTTTAGTACACTGTACAAACATCGAGAATTGATATAAAAAATGTAATCACAGTAAATAGCTCCTTACATATTGTGTATATATTCATTATCTTTCAACGCACATTTATTTTACATTGCGCTATATAGCACTCAGATGCTACCAAATTATTAGGATTCTATTTCAGGGCAAGGCGCTAATTATTCCTTACATTGGTAGCTTTGAATTATTTAAAAAAAATATATCATCCCTAAATACTTTACTGCATATTTAAATATAGTTTAGGTAACTAGAAACCTATTACTTTAATATCCGAAATAGTTGTTATAATTATCAATGTTATCGGTTCTAGATTACGTTTAAAAACTACAAAAATCGTTATTTAGATTTATTAGAAAACTGTATGTAGCCATTCCTTGACATTTAATGTGTTAATTTGATACATTCAGAAAAAAAAATTATTCGACATAATGGCCATTTCCGAAAAATTTACTACTGTACTAATATGAAATAAAAAAATATGAACTAACCTATACGATACTATATGGATATAATATTAAAATTAAATCTATAAATTACAGTGGTAATTTTAATTACCTATGAGAACCCCTTGTTCTATAAAATTACAACTAAGAATACCTTACTAAAGTAATGGAAAACGAAATATAATAGCAACTCAAGTCAATATATGTAGCCCACTTTGACCTATGGAGTTATTAACGAGTTAAAAGAGAAAGCATATATAATATAACTTTGTTAAATGTATAAAAAATCTGTACGCTGTCTGCATATGAAAGATGTGTGAGAAAAACTGTTATTGGAAGACTTTATAGAAATAGAACCCAACAATTGTTAGATTTTTTGACGGCTTATGAGTTTGTGTGTTACACGAACTCATAATTTCAAAGATTTTTCTGACATTATATAATAAGCTCGTACGTACGTACGAACTTCACTTTAAATTCACTGTTTGTTTAACTTCAATAGTTTTATATACAAAAACAGTATATAATAACATATATATACTTTTCACTAGTCCACTTTAGAAATTCACTGTAATTTGTAGGTATGTGCGTTCTTTTCAAACATTGATAATTCTGTATGTTAAAGTGAGCTAGATATAGTATTCAATTGCTATTGTAATCTCATTCATATTGCTTTAGTACAAATCTGAAATTTACACACAAATTAGCATCTACACACGATATTTAATTATCGATCGATCAATCGAGTTAAATTCTGCATTATCATTAATATTTTGACTTTATCTCCACAGAATTACGTGTCACAGATTCAAATATTATTTTACTATTATTTATCACCTGGACTGCTTTTTAGCGATAAAGCCGCCTTTTGTTACCTCTTTGTCTTGTTCATTGTTACATGTTTTTTTTATATTTTTATACATTTATATGTATTTGTAAGTATATGTTCTGTGACAATAACAATTAAGTTTTCATTCATTCAATCAATCATTCACTATAATGTCACAGAATGTGTCATTTATACAAATTCTAATTATTATTTGGACGACCGACCTTAAATGACTTTGAATATACATTTTAAATTTAATATGAATGACAAACAATTTTCCCAACTGATGGAAAGTGATAACCGATGCCTATATACAATGAGGTACGGCATTTGCCAATCCTAAGAATTAAAATAATTACTATTTTATATTTTAATAATAATATTTTATAAGTGAGACGAAATATCGACATAATTGTAACTTATATTGTATTACTTATTTTATAAATCTATAATTTTACAAAACGGAAGCTTACCAAGGGAAGTAAAATTTCATTTATATAATAAATTTAATATTAGATTTTCACGTGATAATATTATTGCAAATTTATATGAAAGTTCATATTTAAACCCAATGATGTCCCAAGTTTATATAACATCATATAATCTTTGTTACTATAATTTCTTATTTTAAAAATAAACAAAACTATATACTAAAAGACTGAACGGATCTTAATGAAATTTGACGTGTAGATAGATTTTCATCACGAGGACGGACAAAGGTTTTGTTTTTATTAAAAAAGCCGACGAAACCGCGGGTAATAGTCTACTTAAGACTATAAATTTGCAGCAATAAGTACCTATTCTAATAACTACCTAACCTATGTCAGTTTTCAACTGACTTATACAAGTACAATATAAGTATAATATAAAAGTTACACTAAATCATATTACCTAACTTTGATGGGAATCCAAACGGTATTATATCTATATAGTTAGCTAAAACTAGAAAACTATTTCATATAATAATATATTAATATGTCATGAGTTATGATTCATGATTTGAATGTAGATTTTAGAAATGTGGGTATGTCGGTAATCGACAATGCTTCTGATTACCCCATTTAGGATCATGGTCGTGCTGATACGGGAACAACGTAACATAAAGTTATGACCGCAATTTGTTCAAATATAATATTTAATATTTGAACAATTCTTCCGCCTAAATGTAAAAATCAAATATTTGTGGTGAATGTAGTAATTTAATACTGAATAAATATTTGTACGCTTCAATAAGCAGATATTGTAAATACAATGCCTTCATTAACATCTTGTATTGTACGCAAAATCCTTCATTTATAAATTAATCAATATTATAATTATGTGCATTATATGAACCCGAAACATATTGCGTTAAATGTGGAATTAAAAATTGTATGGAAATAATAATTACAATTACGTATTTATAAATATCGACCACAGGTAGATGGATGCGGAAGGCGGAAGATCTCACGTGATGGAAGGCATAGGGAATGTCCTATATCCGACAATGGATAGATACAGGCTGAAATGATGATGATGACATAATAGTAATGATGAGGACATAATAATGATGATGATGGTGGCTTATAAACAATTTCATAACACTATACAGTAATGGAGTCTCCATGCTCACTCCGGGGGATCAACATCCACTCAGAGGGGATTAATACTATATCAGATCCACTTCCATGCATCCATAAGAACAATCATGGTTAATTTACCACGTAGACTAAGAGTTCAGACTGCATCATAATCCTATCATCCTTCACTGGTGCCTCGCCAGCGTGGGCTGGTACATCTTTTTATATTTATTAATTAAAAAATAACTTACTATAATGAGAATCCCGCGATTTGAGACTTGACTTAAACTTATTTAGTCATCTAAGTTAGTAATAACCTATAAATGCAGTATCTGGTATCATAATGTACATTTTTTTACAGTACGTTCCATTTTCAATTTGTGAGAAACAGAACACAATTTTAATTTAATCACCATAGACAAGTAATGCTTTTTTTTGTTTGATCTGAATCTTTGGTGTCACGGATAACCTAAATTTAGATATATTTCAATAAATGATAATAATTCTCGCCAATAGTTTTTTAAGTATGTAGAAACAAAACTGAATCTTTTTTGGTTATCTTAAAACTATAATTACTCTATAAAACTAACTAGTTACATCCAAAAATCATTCTTAAAGATATCGAAATAGAATACAAACTCGCACTTCAATAATTTATACTAAAAAATTTCGATTCAACAAGGACGTGATTTTTTCGCGATTTTCGGACGTTTTTTATTTTTATCTTAATTTAATTATAAAAGTATATAAAAATTGGCTAAGTGTATCAGTCTTAATCTAATCTCTTTATTTACATATGGCAGTATCATTTAGCTTTCGTCATTCTTTTTTTTTAATTTAAGAGTATATGCTCAAGAATAATTTATACTGATAATAGGAAAGAAGACTTTATTTGTAATGAATAAACAAAAAAATAGTAGAGCGATTTTTAATATTCTTTTACCTATAAATAGCTATATTTTCAGCGAGTATCCTGTCCTATATTCTACGCGGGTAACAGCTTATGTTATTATCTATGAATCAAAATACTTGCAACAGAGAAAAAATGACGCGGAAAATAATTAAAATAATCCAAGACAGTGACAATTATTAAACATGAATTAAATGCACAATGTAAATTGACATAAGAAAAATAATAATACGAATTCAATTCCCGCGCAAAATCCATTGTTTTTAAAATGAAAGCAAAGGAAATTAATACATAATGTCTAAACATACATCTTTTAAAATTTACCCTTTGTTATAGTATTATAGTTACTAATAAGCATACACTCTTAAAATTAAACTATTCTAATCTAATCCTAACTACATACAAAAATAGAAAAAAAAACTACCTAATTCATAAATAAAAAAGCGGCTCTTCCATTAACAATATAAAATAAAATTTACAGTCCGCGAGCAGTAGCAAGGCACGAGTGACTGTCAACTGTCATTTTTTTAAAGCATATATTAAACTGGCTTCAAATATATCACTAAATATAATTATATTTAGTGAAATCAATTTAATAGTATTTTTTCTAAAATCAAATGTCTAATTTATTAAATAAAGTTTAAAATTATCAAAATATAGTAATTTGTTTGTCACCCACACCATGCTTTAACGCGCATGTAGAAATAGCTTAAAATTAAACTGTAATACGTGTGTATTTCCTATAAATTATACATTCGAAATAAGTCTTTATGTCATTTACATTAAGTTTATTTGTTATCTTTGAATTCCCTCAGATTGTAATAAAAACCGGTAAATTAGTAATTCAGTGAGCTACCATGTTTAAATATAATATTTAAAAAATGATGAAGTAGTAAATTTGTTCGACAAAACAATTAGTTTAATTAACAAAATTATCTACAATCCATTTAGTAGTATATTATTAATAGTAGTAGGCATAATATTCTCATCAACTATAAGCTATAGCTTATTAAAATAGTCTAACTTACATCTTAAGTAATAATTAATTTATTTCTATACTTCTCAATCACTAAATTTAATAGAACTTCTTGTCATTCATTCTAAGGGACCATAGAAAAATTATGTCATACGAATTTCACACATACACAAAAAAAAATGAAAAATAAAAAAAACATTTCATTGACCGTCTCTTTCTTTAACTTATAACTATATCATAATGTACATATGACCCCTTACGGTAATTTTCTATATAACTGCAATTTTTTCACAGAAAAATAAACCAAAATTTGGATGAGATCAATTCATTCAATTAAATATATTGAAATAATTAATATCGTTATATTAATTTTGAAATAATACTATCATTTGAAACTATTAGGCACACCTCAATAGAGATGTTTGACTTACAACTACGCTAACATAATCGCTGCTCGCTCACAGCAAAACAGAAGCCTTACTTATACAATTGTATTTACACATTAATTCACCCTTACGTTAAATTTAAGCCTCGTTCTCCGCAGTTTGTTCCGTGATATCGTCCGCCGTGATATTCTGCATTATAGTGCTCATTTCCTCGCATATTTCCGTGAACTGCGGTCTGTCTGATGGCGATTTGCTCCAACAGCGTTTCTGTAATTGAATTATTTATTTATATACTTTTCCATTAGTACAAATTATTAATTTAGTTAACCTGGTTTTAACAAGAACATTTTTTTATATTGTTAACCAGATAATTTTTTGGCAAATAAAGGTATTTAGGCTGAGTTAACAAAATAAATAATATATATTGAACACGAAAGTTTAAATATAACGAAATATTTTATGGTAAACACAGATAATTTCAACTAGGTTGCATTAGCCGTGGTCACGAGCTGACTGGAGTCAACATTGATATTCGCTGTTACTACAGTCAGCGGTCGAGAGAGGTAAATAAATACCTTTATTTACCATAAAATTATTCGTGTTAAAACCGTTAACTATATTAATAAATTCTTTACTCCTTATTTCTGCAGAGCGCCGCCGATTAGTGGTATTGTATGTATAAAAAATGGATACCTGTATAAATAAAATAGAATATTTTATTTATATTATATTAGGTATCCATTTTTTTATTATTATATAAACTTTATACAGATTTACTTAGCCTGCTAATAATGACACTGCTTCAAAACAAACATTAAACATACGTAAGACTTACTTTAGTAATCGCATCATTTTTATTTTATGTATATTTGGTTGTCAATCGGCAAGGCCTATAATGATGATAAAGATATATTTTATTTATGTTAATTAATACTAACCAGCAAAGCGGCCAGTGGGTCGGGCATCGAACCTGGTACCACCCACTCCAATGTACCACTCTTCAGCCTCTCCATAACGGAATTATCGTTTAATTTGCCAAAAGGTAATTCCGCTTTTGTGTATATCTGAAATTATATATTTATTTATTTAAAGTTGTCGCTAGCTGATCCAATATTGATAAAAATACATGAGTAATATAGAATCTGTTTACATGCACGTTATTAGGAATCATTGTTGTAGAATCGATGATAATTAGAAATATTCGCAGACTCATCACAAGAAGAACGAGTATGAAACTTGTGTGTTGCTCTTTTACTAAATTCTGGATGGGTTGTTTAAAATTAACGACGTACCTCCCAAACTGTAGCTGCAAACATATACACGTCCGATTTTGTTGAGTATTCTCCCTCCAATACGGCTTCCGACGGCAACCACCGCAAAGGTATCACCTGTCAATCAAATATATGCTATTAAACCTACTAGAAAGAATATAGAAGAAATTTATGCAGTACACTGTAATGAGTTCATGATGATAATAATAATGGTGATGGTGATGGTCATAATGATGATGATGACGGCGATGTTGATGATGATAATGAAGAAAAATAAATACCTGATCGTGACGTTTACAGTACTCGTGTGAATGCGGGCCGCGTGTGAGCGCCGCTAGAGACAGCTTCAGTTGCAGCTGTGAGGTTATTACGCAGTTCCGAGCCGCTATATCCCTGATGAATAACAGTAATTATTTATTTATTTGTCACAATATGGTACATACAATAAGGTGACAGTATATATAAAAAAAAGTTTCGTTTGTAACTGGAAAGGCAAATAGGTGGTAAGTGGCCGCCATTTTTTTTTTATTGGATGATAAGGTTTTTGTGCACCCACTTGCGTTAACGGTTTACGTTGCCCGGGCACCAGTGGAGCATGAGGTCAGGTCAGTTGGCCCATCGTAGCAAATTCATCAGGTATATCACGATGGTTTCCAGGTGGAATCGCGTGGAGGTGAACATATATAGATATAAGACCTGTGCGTGACTCTCTTGGCGGCCAGCCTGGCGCCGGCGGCGGCGAGGTGTGCGGCCAGCAGAGCCCTGTGTTGGGGCTCCAGCGGCACGGCCGGGCGCTCCGCCACCGCGGGGGGGTGCGCCGGGCCCACGCGAGACATGTACTCCGCGTTCTCCTCGGGGGTGCGGGTTGCGATCAGGAAATTCTTCAGGTCACCCTGTCCATTAAAATTTTATAATAATTATGAACCCTATCATTACGACTATATACAACCTTATCGATTACGGTTTCAATATATTTTTTGGTGTAAAATAAACTAATAAATAACCCTGGACAATTGACACAGCTCCATGAGCACGCGGCCCGTTATACATGTTTATGCGGCCCGCCGAGCATTTCTTTAATTTTTCGATTTTCTCTGATCAATATGTTGTTATAAAATTAGTTATAACATACTAAAGATAAACTATTTTTTGTGTTTGCATTAAAATTTGTGTAGGAAATATTTTTTTTTATTCTAATGCTTATTATAAATAAAGTTTCATACATTATTAATAGGTTACTTCATGTGTTATTGAATGTGACAAAATTTTAATATTATAATTGGCCTGTTGATTAAGAAGCCCATATTGCTGGCCCCTGCCCTATATGAATATATGATTTTTTAATTTGAATTTGTATATTCTATAATATTTACCCAGTCGGTGTGCTCCAACAACATATAATGCGGGTCGGCTTCGTTGCACAGACCAATCAGGCGGACGATGTTTTCGTGACGGACTCGACCAAATAGTTCCAATTGTCGTCTGAACTCCGACAGTTGGGCCTGTGAATAAGTTTTTATTTATTTATTGCTTTACAAGTGTAAAATCTTAAATACAACATCCACATGTACCGTATCAGGCATAGCAATGTAAACGAGAGAGGTAGATACAAACTATAGTCTGTTTTTTAATATCTGAAATAAATTGACAGGTATAAATGTCAAATTTTCAATGTTACCAGCTGTAGCGGGATAGTGCTGTACCTACGATACGGATTTCCTTAATCGTAGGTTTTTATTTTATAATGTTAGTTTTAGAGTTTAACAACTTTCTACACCGTATTTTTTATTTAAATTTACGTACATATAATAATAAATAATAATAATAATAAAGACATTTATTCAGCATTACAGCATTCTTATTTACTGTACAACTTAAAAGCTAAAACCTACTAGTAACGCTGAATTTGACTCCCACTCAGCATTTATACTGTAGTACAATTATACCACAGCGCTGATTTTCAGTGGGGCCACCACACACGCCACATATACAGATACAAACAAATGAATGCGAGGAATCCGAACTCGCGACCATCGGAAGTAAACCATCAAAGGCCATAAAATATAGGTATATTTTAGGCCTTTGATGGTTTAGTTTATACAAATTTACTTAAGTGCTATAATCAAACATATACCTCATCCTTAGTGGTGAGCGCTTTGACCAGCACTGGTCTCAGTTTCGGCTCAGTTTCCGCGTCATCCTTACATTTCAGCTTCTTCACTTGGCACATGTCTATCTTCGCTAACATCACTTCTCCAAATTCTCCACGACCTACGCAATAATTATTAATTTATTGTCATTTTTAAAATGTATGTACATTTATGTACAAAACGATTAATGATATGTATGAACAATATTACTAGTTGTTTCTCTTGGTTTTGTCTCCCGGTTTCCTTACCCAGTGTTATTTGTTCAGTGAGCAGCGTCCGGGGCACAGTCAGATGGTCGTACTGTCCAGATTTCTTTGACGCTCGCGATATCCCGGACACTTCAGAGTTATCTGCGCCTACAGATAATAAATAAATGTTAATAATAAAAATGTAGTAGGAATTTACTACCATCATTACTACCATCGCCTATATCGTGAACAATTTTTTTTATCTATTATGTTTTGAGGCTCTCAATAGAAGTCCTTTTGAGCCCAATCTTAACAAGTACATTAAACTTATAAGTTTTATAATAAAAAAAGTCAATATGTAACAAACATCAATTACAAATACTTCGCGACATTTTACTATCATAAAAACTTTAAAAAAGATTAATAAAAAAAATCCATTGTGTTGAAAATAAATTAATATAAAACCTTGAATAATATATGGACTAATGGAGAAAAGAATTGTTCAGGAATTATATCAACTTTATTCCTGAACAATATTTATTACAAAGAGCAATACGCAATTTTGTCCATTCTTCTTGTGATGAATCTGCGTTCCGAATGAGTGTTAGAATAAAAAAATATGACTATTGAAAAGTGCTTCTATTAAGTTTATTTGAATAAAGATTATTTCTAATATGAAAATTTAATGAATAATTGAACATAAATAGAAAGAAAAGTAACAAGTGGTCATAGATCAGATAGACTTAGTAACAGACAGAGTAGTTTTTTTAAATATCATGACGATGTAAGACTTACCACTATCTCTATCATGTGGTAGGAGTCGTCCGTTTTGCACTGCAGACCCATTGGCGACCTTCGGTTTCTCCTCTTCGCCTTCTTCTACCAACTTCTCTCTACCTTCTGCCATTTCTAGCTCAATTTTTTCGCCTGAAAATAAAAATTAATATTGGTTAAAATTGCTATGTAGAAAACGGGTAAATATATACATATTTTTACAGACACTCTTTTCTATGTTGTAGTTTTTTATGTAGTACACTATACAATACACTTGTTTTTAGGAGAGCATAATTATTATCTTTGATTTTGGTTGGTATATCTACAATATAGAGTTAAGGAGTCTATAAATCTATACAAATAAATAAAATGGATTTGTCTGTTAGTAATTTCAAAGTCAGTGTTTTCATTAATTGCACATGAAAGTATATACGGTACTTATATTACGTATGTATACTGTACTTTCTAATTATTAGATACACTCCATGTTCTCACTCGCCGTTTCCAGCGTATCTCGTATGACGCCAGCAGTGTGCTTGCTTCCTTCTCTTTCCTACATATACTACAGTATGTATTTATGTTATTCTACCAATTGTCTAGTACCCATAGCTATGTGATTTCTTCCGTATCATTACATAGTATAAAACAAAGTCGCTGTCGCTGTCTGTCCGTCCCTATGTATGCTTAAATCTTTAAAACTACGCAACGGATTTTGAAACGGTTTTTTTAAATAGATCGCATGATTCAAAAGGAAGGTTTATATACATAATAATTTATATATATACACCCGTGCGAAGCCGGGGCGAGTAGTTATTAATATAAATGAAGATGATTACCTCTTTGTCGGCTGCGTAGCCGTCGTCGTCGACAGTAATACATAAGGGCCAGAACAAGGATCATATAGGCGGCTGCCACAGATATCGACACGACTACTGCCTTGCCTCCCACCCCTGTCGACTCCTGAACCGGCAGGGCGCCTTCTGAATAAAAAAATAAAACTTAATACCTAATCTTAATATCTGACTTACTTCCATAAGATAACTTTATTAACATCAGCTTATTCAATTTCAATTGTAAAATCAAAAGTTGCATTTATCATAAATGAAATGTATGATCACTGTTGATCACTTAAGAAACATTAATGATTTATTTATAATCATCACCACTGATAAGTTATGAAACATTTATAATTAATTTATGATCAGTGTTGATCAATTATGAAACATTGATGATTTATATTTGATCACCACTCATAACTGCAATATTGAACATAAATTATGACTACCGTTGCTCACTTATGAAAGACTAGTAATTAATTTATGATCACTACAGGTCACATATGAAACATTGATCATTACTATATCTACTGATCACCACTGATCAGTTATGAAACATACCTGCATGAACAAGTAATAAAAGTTCATTCCTGGCCAACCCCGCCGCACTACCCGCTAGGCACCCGTATATGTCCGAATCATCTTCCTTCACATTCCGTATTAGAAGAGTACCGTTATTTAGTACCAGAAATCTGTAATATAATCATATTGATTGTAATTATATTTATGCCCTCGATAGTGTAGTAGTTTAGCACACAACCTTACCTCCAATGGTTGTGGGTTCGATTCATTCAACTGTGCACGATTTGTACACATATTTATGATTATTTGTATGTACATTATGTGTTTTTTAAATAAATATTTAAGTATTTCTATCAGTTCTCTAGTACCTATAACACAAGCTCTGATTAGCTTGGGAATAGATGGCGCTGTGTGAATTGTGCTGGGTTATTATTATTATAATCATAGGGTACTGCTTAAAAAATAAAAAGTATATAGTTCACTGTTTACCTGGCTGAAGATGCGTTGATAGAACCTTCAAGACTTACACCGGCTGTAAATAAAGTTATTATTCGTTATATATGATGCCTTTAGACCATACAGAAGATATATAGATAGAAAGAAAGATATTATTTATTACCAACTGTTGCATTTTTGCACATTGCAATTTTATATATGCTACTATATATAAGTAATTATTATAATATGTACTAATAAATACAAGGAATGTATACATGTATATGCCATGCGAAACATGTCTCAATCGGAATTGACTCAAACGGTTGGAATTTGATCATCATTAGAGAAGGTCGTAACGGTAGTCAAGTTTCCACACCGAATATTTGTGGTCTCACATATGCTAATCGTAGTGGAATTAAACAAAACAATATAAATACATCAAGTAGTGAAATATACTTCCGCAAAATAACACCTAACTCGATTAAATATATTTATGTTTGTCTTATCAGGAATAAGTAAATGATATTTTATACTATACTAGCTTTTGCCCGCGACTTCGCTCGCGTTGATTTATCCTCTTAAGGATGGAATTCATCAATATCCTTTCTTAGGGGATGTCTACGTCATAGTAGCTTTGTGCATGTAAAGTCTCAGCCCGATCGGTTTGAAATTGACAAAGTTTCATACAAACTTTCATACCCTATTTTATGCCCTTGGGGGTAGAATTAATCAAAATTCTTTCTTAGCGGGATGCCTACGTCATAACATCTACCTGCATGCCAAATTTCAGCCCGATCCGTCCAGTGGTTTAGGCTGTGCGTTGATAGATCACTATGTCAGTCACCTTTGAGTTATATATATTTTATACTATATAATAACTCACATTGTTGGAGTAACAGTGTGCGGTTTCTATCCCACTGGGTCGTAGGTTGCGGGTCGCCTGTTGCCTGACAGTTGAGGACAGCTGTTTGACCCTCCACCACGTTGACTTGCTGACCAGATGATGGCTCCAGGATACGTGGCGATACTGAAAATATAATATAAATTAAAAATAAGTAACCTTTGGGGGTTACTTTTTTTAATTATCTAAATTGTAACGAAATATGCATGAAAATCGGTTCTATCGTCTAGGAGCAACGATACCAGAGACAAATAAAGAAACGTTCAAGTCATTACACACCTCTTTTTCTAGGGTTAATTAATAATGTAACATAAAAGATGTATGGGCAAATTATAATTGGGGGATATTATTAATGAAACGGAACGATCTAGTGATTAAAATAAATATATGTGTCTTTGTTTGTGTTATATGTGCTACGACTACTACGGTCGCTAACCATCAGGTTGGTCGTATGCATTAATATTATAAAAAAACTATCTTACCAACAATATCCAAACTAATGGTCGCCCTGATGGTACTGTTGCCGTCGACCGCTCGGCAAGTGTAGTTGCCGGTGTGGCGACGAGCTGCTTCCGAGACCAGGAGTGTGCCGTTTACTGATGTCACGCCTTCTGGTAGCGCGTCCTCTTCATTCTATGAATGTAATAATAATAATCTCAAGACAATTCACACAGCGCCATCTAGGCCCAAGTTAAGCTAGTTAAAGCTTGTGTTATGGGTACTAGATAACTGATACGAAAACACAGATATTTTTTTCGTAAATGCATACATATTATATATATAAAATACCCAGTCCTATACAAACGGTCATACTCTTGAATACAAATGTTTGTGCCGTGCGAGGAATCGAACCCGCGACCATCAGCAGTCAGGTGGTGTACTAAATCGCTAGATCACCGAGGTTTTAGCATATTCCTAAGAGTTCACAATAAAACAACTACTTAATTCAGCATTAATACTTAATAATATAAACAATATACATACCAGGTACCACTGTATAGTTGGAGCGACACCGCCGGCAACTTTGCAATGTATTTTGCCAGAACTGTTGCGCTCCAATTTCTTACTATACGGTTCGGGTTCAAAGCGAAGCGCGCCATCTGTTAATAAATAGATGGAACTAAAGATAGGAAATAATACAGCTAGTCCCCAATAGATGGCTCTGGTGCAATTACTTTAAACATTGTCCTGATAGACTGTTTTTAACAAGATTCGTATTGTATTAAACACACAATAACAGATCAAAGTATGTTGATATTATTTAATTTTATTTATTTACCGTGGATAGCGCGATGTCTTCGAGGCCCCTTGTGCGATCTTTGTCTATGAACCAAATGTTGTCCTGCTTCTGAAATAAAAATAAATACATTATTAAAATATACAGTATTTTTAAATGAACTTACTTGGAACTTGTAAAACATTTGATGGAAAGTTCTAGATGCAACACAGCAACCCAAATATAAGGCTAAATGCGGAAAACCTAGCCCGATTTATATTACAAGTTTGTACAAAGGTGACGGCCTATAGATATCTCGGACGATCAAATTCAAATTATCTTTATTCATGTAGGTGTATTACAGACGCTTATGATATGTCAAATTTACCGCCAGTTCAGAGTGCTTTCGATCTGAGAAAAACTGACAAGAAACTCAGCTCGTATTCTTTTCAAATAAATGTTATACATGTTTACAATAATACAGTTTCAATTTCAAATTTGGAAGAATAGTGACTACCAGCATATGTTATTGCAATTTTGTTAAAAGCAAATAGTTTAATCAGTGTTCGTAAGCCGAACAGACCAGTCCAATATTTCTATTGTAACCACAGACAACATAATAGTTCAACTGTAGTTATTATTTACGGAACCTCCGTGCTGAATACAACACACGCTCGCCGGATTCCTTCATAAATGTGTGCAAACATTACTTCAAGTTGATCTATAAAATGTGATAAGCTCCATCTAACGTGAAGGGTCGTAAATTGCGGAAGTGGGACCAAAATAGTTAATATGTTTACATTAACGATATTTATCAGTGTTGCAACATTGTATATCTGTACGTCCCAACTATCTTTTTAACATTGTAAACGCGAAATTTGTGAGTGTGGATGGATAGATGGATGTTTGTTACTCTTCCACGCAAAAACTACTGAACGGATTTGATGAAACTTTACAGTAATATAACTTATACATAAGAATAACATAAGTACAGACTACAAATTACATGCAGGTACAACCGCGAGCACAGCTAGTTGATTCACAGCCATTTTGACTCACAGAAAAAGTCCGTCATTTAAGATTGAAATAAATCAAAATGTTTTTACATTTCTTCAAAATCTACAAAATCTTTTACTTTACATTCTACAGACCGTTCATAATCATGTCCATAAATGAAATATTAAAACAGTCCTTTATTATATACTTTACAATTTGGGAGAGAAATCGAACCCGCGACTATTAAGACGGAGTGCTAAATCGTATGCATTTAGAAAAAAAAAACTATATATATATTTCTATCAGTTGTTTAGCACCAATAACACAAGCTCTGCTTAACTTGAAATATATGATAATGAAGGAGTTATCTATCTATTTTTGATGTCATTGCTCCTAAAGTTAAACATTAAAGTCTTTTTATACAATGTTGTGAAAACAGTGTTATATTTATATCAATTCATGATAAGTACAAGTACCGGCGCAGTCGGTGTTATATTTATATCAATTCATGATAAGTACAAGTACCGGCGCAGTCGGCTAGATAGAAGCGGTTTGCGCACTCGCCGCGTGTAAACAACAGATGTGTGAGTTTACAACGCCGGCGCACATCAAACGGGCCGTTCTCAGCTTTTACCCCCACTATAGTGACCATGCTGTAGAATAAAACAAGGAAAAAAATAGCAGAATTTTTACCCCACCGATCGATACCCCGTACAATTCAAACGGGGATCGAAATTACGACGGCCTCGGGCCGATTCCCGTTTTTCCCCCCACTACAGTAAGCTTGCGGGGAGAAGGGGATTGTTAGTAATGTGGACATGAACCCATTACCAGTAGTACCATGTCAGGTTGACCTCCACGCGGTTCCTCCTGGAAACCATCATGATACATTCCTGGAGAATGTCACGATGGGTAACTGACCTGACCTCATACTCATCTTATCATCCTCCACTGGTGCCCCGCCAGCGTAAACCGTTAGTGCAGGCGGGACTACCATCCCATTATCATCCATAAAAAAAAAACAGTAAGCTTGCTGTAGAAAAGAAAACAAGGAAAACAATGACATCACCCGTCCCTCCCTCCGATCCCCAGTCCAATTCAAACGGGGATTGAAGTTACGGTCTAAGCTGAGGTTCGGACCTTTTCAAAGGCGAATAAATGACAGAAAAAATAAGGAAAAATTACGTGTAAGGCCCCTTCCGATCGATCCCACGTCTAATGCAAAAGGGGATCGAAATTACAACAGCCTGAGCTGAGGTTCGAACCCCTAACGGTGCCCTCTGACTAAAGTCGTATCTGTCAAGCGGGAGTTGGCCTCCAGCCGCGGCTCTTATATAGCGCGGGTTTGCAGTGTCATCTGCACTCGTCCCCTATCTGTGAAGCTGTAAAGGCCAGCTGTGGCAAACAGCATTGGAGTAGTAAAAAAAAAACAGAATTTTTACTATGTATCAGTAGTATAGAGTAGGGTTGCAGCCCCGGGAGGTATACTAAACGGGAGACAGGCGAAGAGCTTTTAGGCACGTTGATTGTGGAATAAAGTTTATTCTATCAAATTTAAAATTATTCGTTGTTGCTAAGTAACAGTTAAATTTTATATATAACTGTATATCCACGGAATACCTCCATCAAAAGGACCACCCTACAACCGAAACACAGCTCCAAATCTAACTCAGATTTTAAATACTGTAAAGATTGTATTTTCTTTAGTTATTTTTAAACTTTCCTGTTTAATATACAATATTTATTTTATTAATCGGGTCTTAACACGAATAATTTTATGGTCTATGCAGTTCGCAGTGCTACAAGTTTTAGCACCAAGGGGGGAAGGGGATTGTTAGTAATATGGACTCATGACTCCATTACTAGCAATGTACCATGTCAGGTTGACCTCCACGCGGTTCCCCCTGGAAACCATCGTGATAACTTCCTGGTAAATTTGTCACGATGGGCTAACTGACCTGACCTCATGCTCATCTTATCATCCTCCACTGGTGACCCACCAACGTGAACCGTTAGCGTAGGCGGAAGCACCAATCCATTATCATCCCTTAAAAAAAAAAAGTTTTAGCACCTGATAAAGGCCAAAACCCTCAATAAAAAAAAATATAATGACAGGTTCTTAACACGAATAAAAGGCTAGCGCAACCTAGTTGAAGCGCCGCAAGATAAATACCTTTATTTGCCATAAAATTATTCGTGTTAAGTCCCGCTTAATAATATGTATAAATAATGTATATTTTCTATTTTATTTTCTAATCAGAAAGTACTATTATGAAAGATAGGTTCACTCCCGGCGCCTCTCTGCGGTTTTAGGAGCGTATACTCCCATTAAAGTTTGGAAAAAACTGGTCCTATTTCATAATATAATGAAATCTCCGGTTTCATTTCCAATAACAAAACCTGCGTAAACATTCTATTGAATTTGGTGTTATTGTACGCAAGTCCATTTCATTACTTAATGGATTTATTCTGCTACAATTAGCATGTGTGAGACCACAAATATTCAGGAAAATACACCACACTGAATATTTGTGGAAAACAAAATAATATAAACCTGCGTGATAAAAAAAAAAAACAGAAATACTACATTCATAAGTCAGCTGTAACTTGTGGTCACCATATACTGTCTAAATATACAATCTTTCAAGCAACTCTGGCACGTATCAGTCGGCATTGAACCCGTGACCGCGAGTTCAACCGTCCTATCAATTATCACCTAAGCATTATTCGATCTGAGCATTTGAAAGTGTATAAATATTTGGGTAGAATGACGCGCGCAATAAAGATTAGGTCCAGACTTTTTATGTAATCGGAGCGGCAAACAAGCTGACGGCCGACTTTTTTTAATAGTACAGGGGAGAAACGAGCATGCGGCTCACCTGATGGTAAGTGATTACCGCTGCACATGAGCACCCGCAACACCATTGCAAGTGCGTTGTGGGCCTTTTATAAAGGAATAAGCTCTTTTCTTGAAGATTTCAGTATCGTATCCGTTCGGAAATACCATTGCTGGAAGGTGATTAGACAATTTGGTTGTGCGTGGCAAAAAGTTCCTAGAAAACCGCACTGTGGAGGACCGCTATTCGTCCAGATGATCAGGATGGTATTTTTGTTTCTGGCGGGTGGTACAGTGGTGAAACTCAGCAGCTGGTATTAATCCGAACAATTCCTCAAAACACTCCCCGTGATATATGCGGTAGAAAATGCACCTGATTTAATCGGAGTTGTTTTTTTTTTATGGGTGATGATTAAATGGCTTTCTCAGTTGCGTTAACGATATAAGTTGACGAATCAGTGGAGGATGATGAGATGAGTATAAAGTCAGGTGGAATAACCCAACGTGGTGAATGCATGGTGAATATAATGAACAGCACCATTAACACATGCGACATGCGTTGTCATTTTTAGGGATAATAATTCCTAAATAAGATTTTAGAGAATAATATAGGTAGAAATTTAGAGCGTTAATTAAAAAGTTACCAAAGAGACCATAATGGTTGCATTATTTGTCAATTTCCTTAGAAAGGCATATGATTGTTTCGTAATTAACCTTTTACGTAGAATTGTGTAAAGTTGATTTTGTTGGTACCTTTGTCTTAAATATCAATTTCTATCATAACTGTATTGTAACGCCACGGAAGATGCAACTAATTTTCATTAAGCTATAAAAAAAAGAACTGGATTCTTAAGCTACTATTTGTTTAAAAAAGAAAAACAAAACCGATTGACTGATCGGTTTTTGTGTTTGCCGATTATATCATAGGATAGCATTATGAACGTCAACGATTTTCTACAAAACTGTCATTAATTGGAGATAGATGAGATGGGCGATCTCAAACATAAATTTTAATAAATCCAATATCGATGCACTAGCGCCACTGCGGCATTTTCCCGAACTAGCGCATAATGGCGGCGTTGCCATGGCAACTGCTCGTAAAATTTTATGGCGCGCACTCCCCGTTGCCGCGCTTTCAAAATGGTTACTTTGTGCCCAGATTACCGGCTCCTATTCCGTTTATGATGGCCAAATATTTTGATCCGAATTAAGTGCACTATATATTTTTGTTTGGGTTAGTTTTTCATCGATATTGTACGCCGTTTTAGTTGCAATAAACTATTATTAGTACACATCAAAG